GAATGTGCACAATGGAATATAAATATAACGTAAGGGACATGTGTTTGGGATCTTACCTGTGATAGTGTATTACTACTGCCAAACGGCTATTAATGTCTGCCCAGGCCCCTGTGGGATCCTAATCCTTGTCTGCCAGGGGGTGTAGCTGTAGTGTAGGTATATCTTTCATTTATCCCTAAAAAGTTATGGCTGTAATTAAATTTCAGACTATTTAGGAAGTGCAGATGGAACGAGGGACCTATAGCATTTCAAAGAAACCACAAGTAGAATTGGTTTCTTTATAAAAAAAAAATAGATAAAACATTTTCAGTGAAACAATATCAAAGAGAATGTGAAGGGATATTTTGCGAGATTATGTAAAACTTTAAAAGCGTTTTGCACATGCTGAGATTAATCTATATATTTTGCTTATGGCAAGATCAACATATGCATGACATTGGAACTTTATCAAGACAGTACTGGGTTCTAGAATTTCTGAGACGTAAAAGATCTGAGCAAACAGCCAGGACTAAAAGAGTTTAAAAAACGCTCAATTTATGTGTCAAAACAGATCTGTAAAGACCTTTTGCCACCATAGATGATCATGCATAGTTAGATGCAGCAACTCTTTGGGTATTACTTACAATATCGTCATTCTATGTCAAAATAGAGCTTTTAACCCCTTAAGGACACATGACATGTGTGACATGTAATGATTCCCTTTTATTCCAGAAGTTTGGTCCTTAAGGGGTTAAACACCAAATTGTTCTGACGGCTCCGTGATGAATACAAAAAATAAGGCCAGAAATTATTACTTAGCTGTTACAAATGTGCTGTCTGTCTTGGGAAGACAACAAATTTGTTTATTTGTGTAATTAAAGGTTTCAATACTCTGTTATGTTAAGGTGAAAAACAAAGGTTCTGATATCTTCTGTGGTTTCTACGGAAAACAAACATTTTATTGGTATGTTACTTACTGAGATAGTACAGGTCTCTGACCCTTGGATAGGCACATCAATCGCCACTATCCATAGTATCAAATCATCCAAAACTGAGGGTTTCATCAAAGTGATACACGATGTGTTTGATGCTTATTTCTATATCCACCTTGTCTCATCTTTTTTTTTTTTTTATATTTTATTGTAACATTTCATTATCGTACACATTTGTAAGCGCATAGTGAGCTACATTTAAAAAAAAAAAAAGGGTTTGATAGCATTAACCTCCCATACTGGAGTAGAGGGTGCTTGTGATGCAGCCAACATAGGTCGCAGGATGTTCTCCGGGATGGTTAAGTCCATGTCTCTGAAGAGCCATTCTGCCGCTGAGATGTGGGTAAGTGTGAAACGCTTGTCACCATATAGCACTGTTAGTTTTCGTCCCTGTCCCCAGCGGTACCTAACGTCCTTATCGTGCAGCAGCTTGGTCATAGGTTGCAGTGTGTGTCTCCAAAGCATGGTAACCTTTGGATAGGTCATCGAAGAAGGAAAGTCTGAGCCTTCAAACTTTTAGGTAGGTGCATTCTTAGTCGCCGCCTGTATGAGCTGCTTGCTCTGAAGTGACTGGAAACAGAACAGAAAGTCCCTTGAGGCCACCACTGAAGCTTTAGGTTACTTAGGAACCCTATAGTGATAGTCCAGTGGCATATGATTTTGCCTTTGATGAGGAGAACATTGAACTCAATAATCTGTGAAGGTAATGAGGTATCTCGTCATCCACTACAGCTTCAGGGACTCCGTGGACTTGCAGATTTCATTGTCTCCAGCCCGACCAGTTTGCTCTCAGTTTTTCTACCTCCACTTTAAGGTCTTTCTGCTGGCCTTTTGTTTTGGCACTTTCTTTGGCACTCTAGCACACGCAGTCGAGATGTCATGACCCCCATGTCTTCTCGGACCAGTGCAGTGTCGGCTGTGAAATATGCCTTCAGCTCCGACAGCATGTCCCTATGTCCGCTTTACTGGCAGGTGCTCTGGACAAGTTTCCGGGCTTGCCCGCTTATCAGTGGGCTCAGGTTAGCGGGAACAGGGCTCTGAATACGCTCCCTACGTTCAGGAGAGCCATCCAGATCGCTTTCCTCCAAGGCGAGGTCTGAATCCTCCCGCGTGGGCGCCATTTTGGTAGGCCGCTGCTGCAGTGTGACTCGGAATAAGGCTCCGATATCTCTTAAGCAAGCGGCTGCATCAAGTCAACGGTTTTTGGTTTTCTTTCCTATATGGTCGGGAGGGTATCTGGGTTAGCATAGGGAAGAATTAGTGCAATTATGCTCAATATTGCTTTTCTCTCTTAGGAGCTCCCGGCATGTGCGACTGCTTCATTCAGTATCTAGCCATCTTCCATTCTTTGAAAGTTAGCCTGGTAGCAGCAAAGCTAAGGGGAACTCCAAGACCTCTGAGGTGTTACTGAATATCCCAATTATAAAACATGAAATCACCTGCTTAATATTGTGTAGGTTCCCCTCATGCTGCCAAAACAGCTCTGATTAGTCGAGGCATGGACTCCACAAGACCTCCAAACATGTCCTGTGTTATCTGGCACCAAGACATTAGCAGCAGATCATTTAAATCCTGCAATTTGCGAGGTGGAACCTCCATGGATCGGATTTGTTGTTCCAGCACATCTCACAGATGCTCGGTCAGAGTGAGATCTGGGGAATTTGAAGGCCAAGGCAGCACCTTGAACTCGTTATGTCCCTCAAACCATTCCTGAACAATTTTTGCAGTGTGGCAGGGTGTATTATTATGCTGAAAGAGGCCACTGCCATCAGGGAACACCATTGTCATGAAGGGGTGTACATGGTCTGCAACAATCGCTAGGTACTTGCTACGTGTCAAATCTATCTTGCAAGCAGGGTTAAAACATTGCAATTTTCTTTCATCCCATACTGTTACCTGGGGATATGGCTTCATGTCAATCATCTCATACGCTGTCACTGTGGATCTTTGTGTCTCACATCCCAATACCTTCATAGCCATCCTACAGGACTCAGGCTTGCCTGCATCAGCCTCTGGCTTCCTGGTTGCATCTTTCCCCCAGAGGCAGATACCAATTGTGATACATCTGTTAGTACTGCAGTGGCCCTGGGATGCTGGCTCCAATTATATCTAGTTACAATTTGACAAATTACCGCATATACGCTTATAGAGAAGTACATGTGCATTTGCCCATCACCTACACATTAAGAGCCATTGATGTCAAATTATTTTTGCTTCTGACCATTGCACGTTAGTTTGCTTTGTACACTGTCCTAGAATATCACAACCGTGAAGAAGTTAATAATTCTGAAATCTGATGCAAAGTGTGAACTGTTGGAAATTCAACAGTGAATTGTATATTGTAGGCCACAATAACCAAATTGGAAAAATTCTCCCCAGTACGGATTGTTGGGAGGTCTGAAGGAAATTGCACTGTCAGCAGCTGTATAACCGCTCGTGGTGCACCGAGAGGTAAATTCTAAGGCCATATATAAGTGCTACAGATGTGATCAGTGTATGAACGGCCCTGATTGGCTGCCAAACTGGCAGCATGGCTACTAGGATGATGTCCATGATGCTAATTGCGTCATGAACACGGACACCCACGGGAGATATCAAACCTGCTAATTATAGGCCAAAAAACGTTATTAATTTATTATTATTTAATTTATTTTCTATTTCAGCTATTTTTTTCTGCTTTCTATTTTTTTTTTTTTTTTTTTACTAACAGTTATGCGAGAATTCAAAGTGAATTTCGAATTTCAGACCACAATAGTCAAACTGGGAGTAATTGCTGGCTTTCCAATTCAGCTATTTTGGTCTTCACGGACCCACTAAAGGCACTCAGTGAAGCGGTCTGGGTGCTTTTATCGTTTAGTTTTGACCCTGCAATGTAAAACATGGGTGATACTGCAATGTTTACATTGAAAGGTTAAATACACCGCTCGTGGCTTCTTCCTGGTGGCCGCTAGAGACGCTTCTTCTAATACGGGGGCAGCTCTGCCGCGCATTATTATTATTATTATTATGATATTTATAGAGCGCCGTCAAATTCCGCAGCGCTTTACAATGGGTGGACGAACAGACGTAGTTGTAACTAGACAAATTGGACACACAGGAGTCCATAGGAACGGTGCAGCCCTCGAGAAATCTTGAAGGCGAGCATCAGAGGTGGGAGTACGGACAGAAGATAGACGTAAGTCTTCAGCAGATCGTAAGGGCCTAGACAGGATATACTTGTGTATAAGGGAGGATAGATAGGTGGGAGCAGCATTATGTAGAGATTTGAAAGCAAGAACCAGAATTTAAAATTGAGCTCTATATTTTATAGGAAGCCAATGTAGAGACTGACAGAAGGGTGAGGCATGGGAGGTGCAGGCGGACAGGAAGATGAGCATTCATTATGGACTGTAACGGCACAAGTTGGGAGCACGTAAGACCACTGAGAAGCGGATTACAGTAGTCAAGGCGAGAAAGGACAGTGGAATGGACCAACACCTTAGTCGCATCTGGTGTTAAGTAGGGGCGGATGCGCGCAATGTTTTTTAGATGGAAATGACAGGATTTGGCGATAGATTGAACATGAGGCTTGAAGGAGCGGTCGGAGTCAAAGAGAACACCTAGGCAGCGAGCCTGCGTGGTGGAGCTGATGGTAGCACCGTTGACTTGGAGGGAGACAGACACAGGAGTAACAACACTTGTTATAGTGCCCAATGCTGGAGGCAGATCGAGAGCCTGCAGGGACTCCATGTTGGCGCTTTATAAATAATAAAATAATAATAATGAAAAAAAGTTATGTAAAACCTTTTTATTAATTTTATTTAGATTGTGGGGGTTGGGGGCTTTAAATCTAAATAAAGAACACATTATAGGGTTAGGAATGAGGTCTGTATTTCACACTGTATAATGTCCCTTTAGCTTTGAAATTCACACAGAATTCACTTCAGATTACATCAGACTACAACTCCCAGCATGCCGTGGGAGCAGCCAGGTCTTTGGGGAGGTGGGCGGGGCTCAGGGAGGGCGGGAACACGCAGGTCGGAGTTCTGTGAGGGCGATGACGTCAGCCGGCTGGATCCATCGGGAATGCGCGCGCTCGCGCCTGGACTGAGCCAGTGAGGGGAGGGGAGGGGGGGTCGCGCGAGTGCGCGTGCTCTGAGCCGCCGCCATTACTGAATTGAGGAAAAGCTCTGAAGGAAGAGAGAGAGAGAGGGGGAGCATCGGCGGAGGCTGGAGCCGGGCGGACGGGAACCAGCTCAGGACTCGGGAAGGAGGACTCACAAAGCATCGCAGGGAGCTGTCTGTAGGCCGGTGTGGAGGATGGAATCCAGGTAATGGGGAGCCGGGCCCGGGGTCAGCCATCCAGGCCGAGCCTGACAGGAGCCAGCACCTGGGGAGACAGCCGGGGAGCCAGCACCTGGGGAGACAGCCGGGGAGCCAGCACCTGGGGAGCCGGGGAGCCAGCACCTGGGTAGACAGCCGGGGAGCCAGCACCTGGGGAGACATAGGGGGAGACAGCCAGGGAGCCAGCACCTGGGGAGACAGCCGGGAAAGCCAGCACCTGGGGAGACAGCCGGGAAAGCCAGCACCTGGGGAGACAGCCGGGGAGCCAGCACCCGGGGAGGGGGACAGCCGGGGAGCCAGCACCCGGGGAGGGGGACAGCCGGGGAGCCAGCACCCGGGGAGGGGGACAGCCGGGGAGCCAGCACCTGGGGAGGGAGACAGGGACATAGGGCTCCCCATGGCTGGACTGTTCTGGGGGCTAGGGTGGACTGCTGGGGGTAAGACTGGCTGGACTGCTGGGGGTAAGACTGGCTGGACTGTTCTGGGGGCCAGGGTGGACTGCTGGGGGTAAGACTGGCTGGACTGTTCTGGGGTTGCCCCAATCTGCGATCAGAAACCCTACATACCAGCCAACTGCTGTAATCATTTAAAAAAAAAAAAATTTAATTTCATTAGACCCCACTATATCCTCCCCCACCCGTTGATCTCATATAAACTAATCAAAGAGTTAACTAGGCTTTATCTCTGGTTAAAGTCAGAGGTGACCAAAAGGTACCCCCCCAGCCATCTATATAAGTAGTACAACAACCATTATGATTTTTCAGCATCAAGCCTGCCAGAGCATGATGGGAGGTAGCTTGTGATCACCACAGTTTTAGGGTGACCCATCTCTTCTGATTGGCTCATTGTGTGGAAGAAAGATGTGACCCTAACTAAACTTGTTAGAGGGGGTCGTAAAAATGTTAAGCAAGATTTGGGGTTTGTTTGAAATGAAAACTAGGATGGGAAATTTTTCCCATATATGCAATGAGTAATGTGCCAACATCTGTTACATACTAATGATGGCCAACATTTTACACAGCAGCAGTTATGGACTGGTTGGGGCAAATGCTGGCTGAGAGTCATAGGATATGCAGTGTCAATTGATGGAGTGCGTAGATATAGTATAGATGCCATATGAGGCATTAACCAATAGTTGTAAACTACCCACATATATACAGTAAATAGCAACTGTATGCTAAAGCTCTTACACCTTGATATATTTTGATATAGGCAAATCTCTGCTTTAGCCATTTTAGGACTCTTTAAATGATAGATTCAGCAGTGCAAGATCTTCTGAATCTCGTACAGTATTATCTTAACACACCTACCAATACTCTTGAAGGTTAATCGATCGATGCACCCACCAGTGTTCAAGCAAGACCATTCTTTATAATTTGATTAACATGCATAACTCACTTAGTCAGCAGATTCACAGTCCGATAATCAAATAACCTTTATAATCCATTTTATTTCTTGTAAATCTGCAACTGATTGGTGTGCAGTATTATGGCAGTTTCTCTAAATGCAAAGGGTCACAAAATGATGTGAAGTTGAAAGTATCCATATCTAAATTGTTAAAAACCCTCTATATGTTAATCAGGGTGGCAACTGTTTGCCTTCTATACATGTGTTTCCGCCTACATATGAATAGAACAAGTTATCTCGTTTAGACACCCCGGTAGCTGTATTTTTGTAGTGTTTTTTTTTTTTTTTTTTAATGTTCCTTTTGAGTTCCACAAATTCCTGGGAATGTACAGATTGATGACTTTGTGCTCATATACTAAATTTGAACTATTTTGGCGGTGTTGTAGTATGTGGTGTGTAGTTGCTGACTGTTCCTTTACATTGATTTAGTTGCAGACTTACACTGAAAAGAAATTGGTCAAAAAACTGAAAGCAATTTTATGCTCCACAGGGTTCTCATTGTGACGAGCTAGCTGCAACACAGGCTGGCAATAAATTCTAAATAATCACACTTGAATTAAAGAAAAAGTAATGTTTCTTTGTGTTTAGTCTCTATCGATACAGTTCTGAGCAAAAAATTTTTGGCAACTTGTAAGGTTCTGGCAACGAACAGGTTAATATAATTTTAGGAACCTTGAATGCGGTTCTTTTGATGCGGTCATCCGCCCATTTGCTTTCACTTTAGCAAAGCTGGAAGCAGTCATTGAGAGATGGCTGGGGTGTGCATAGAGCGAAAGGGTTGTTAATCAATTCCATTTACAAATATAGCCTGCAATGAAGCTATTGCAAGTCAGTGGTGCTGAATATAAAATGGCTTTCTTATTTTATTTTTATTTTTTTTACTCTTTTAACCAGGGAAAGTGTAGTTTAAGGTAAAGCAACTTTAAAATAGATGTTTTAATCGTTAGTGCACAAGTCAAGAGAAACGGTTTTGAACTATCATCAAACAATTCGTATCTCTTTTCTAATCCATGCTTAATTGTTTCACTGTCCTAATCTTCCTTCCTATTTTCCATAGAATTATTGTTTGTTGGTTTGTAATGCTACATTATTAACATTCCCATCATTCATTTATTTTTATCACATCTCCTACACTTCCAATAAGTCTAACAAAATATCTATCTAAGCTTTGACACAGCAGCAGTTATGAATGGTGTTTCCTTTGATGCTCAGACTGATTTCAGGCTGTGCATTCTGGGAAATGTAGTCCAAAGTATTATCAAAGGTTAGTTGTCAGTGCTCTGTCAATAATTCAGACAAGCGAGTGTGTTGGAGACCTTGGTGTAAAAGGGAATTACAGGACGCAGGGGAATTCCAGTATAAAATGACTTTGGCTTGTGACGTGTCTCTGGAATTGCATAGTCTGAGAAGAGAAAAGTAAACGAAGTGAAGTGTCATATGAGATAATGTCTATACAAGCTAAGGGCTCATGGTTTAAAGGAATAGGAGATATAGAGCAGATTTTCACTTGCAGTATGTTTATCTGTTTACTTGGGTAAAAGGTTTGTTCTTAAGTCTTTGGATCTTTATAATGTTTAATCTGTATTCCACACAGAGAAAAGCAGTAGTCTGTAAGATATGCACACACATGGATGTTAAAAGCTGTGTTTGAAACACACATTTAATGTATAGAGCTGGTAGTTTTAATTAGTACACTACTTACTATCAGAAGTATGACCTATGTAGCATGCTGGTTAACATGTATGATGTTGCATGTAGTCACAGAAGGGGCATTATACTGCTGGAACTGACACTTCACTAAATTAAATACATAATCTATTCACAAGCTGTTATCATCCATTTTTAATGAAATGTCTATGTATTGTGCCAATTGTATTGACATATATATATATAGTCAGAATGAGCTTTTATGGGAAATTAACATTTGGTCAGTTTTCTTTAACAAAGCCTTGCACATTGTTAGTGATGGGGGAATGGCAGAAATGCAAGTTCTTGTATGTTGTTAAATTGTCACATAGTGCCCTTTTTATTATTTACTGCGTTCTACATCTTAAAGGAATACTCCAAGCAGCACAACTACTACACGTTGTAGTGATTATGGTGTGTGGAGTGCTATCCCTGAGTTAGTTAGACCCCTTAAGAACAGTTTGACAACTTACCTTTGTCCAGCTGTGTGTCTGCCACCACCTCCGCTACTGCAGAAAGCTCTTGCAAGAAGCTTCCAATTAGCTCCACTGGATTGAGAACATTAGCTGAGATCTTTCTACCAATGCGGCCCTCTTAGGCTGTTCTTAAACCACTTGCAAAAGCTTGTAGTTGCAGGGGAGGCAGGGGACACTGGTAAGTTATGAAACTGTTCTTAAAAAGTTTGGCTACCTAGGGAGGGAACCAAGGCACTCCTGGCACCTTAACCATGTGAGAGAAAATTGCCCAGAAGAGCAATCGTGCAAAGAATTCTCATTAAGTTGCATTTGAAAGTCTGTGATGGGGAAGCCAGAGTAAGTCTGGGCAGGTTAGCAGGGGAGGGCATTTAAAGGGACACTATAGTCACCAAAAAGCTACAGTTTAATGTAGCTCTGATGAGTACAGTAAAGTATATCCCTGCAGGCCTTTCAGAGAAAAGGCAGTGTTTATATTACTGCCTAGGGATACCTCCAGAGGCAGTCAGAAGGCTATGGGAAAGCATTGATTTGGCTGAGATGATCAATTTTGATGTCAGCCAAAGAGGTGGATTGGGGCGGAATGAGCACCGGCAGACTCACACAGCACTGAAATAAAGGTAAGTTTCACTGTATTTAATAGGTTCAGGAATACACATTTGTATTCTTGATCCTATAGTGTTCCTATAAGGAATTCAGAAAAGATATCGGCAACTTTTGCAAGCTGTTTTTAGATTGGACAATTCAGCTAATAGAATCTGGCAAATTTGATCACGTTAAGGCTTTTTTTATTTTTATTTTTTAAATATTTTATTTATTTTTTACATGGGTTAGTAAATCCTCATCATACCAGATAGTACATAGTTGTAATTAGTGGAGGAAAAAAGGATAGAAAATAGTCACCATTCTTCAAGAGGGTTGTAAATATAAAGATCAAGATAGTAAATAGAAAAACAGCAAATGACATAACCCTCTTATACTGAAGGGAGACTCTAACAGGGGATTAGTTTTGCTTATTTGGAGGTTTTTTCTAAATTCTTGTATGACAGAGTCGCTAACGTTTCTCTTGTAGGAGATTGTTTTACCGTGTGTTGGTGTTGAGCACAGCCCCTTATACTGTTTAGCCAGAAGGTGCTTGTATAGCAGCACATATTTGTGTGCCTGTCAGGCAAATTCTCCTGCTCAATCTCACACAGCACAGTGAATTTGAGCATCAGGTTATTACTATCTCTCCCCAGCTCTGATTCATTGACAATAGAGAAAATAGTAAGAAGATATGGCTGTATCTCACACAGGCATGCTTCGATCAGAAAGACCAACAGGCGGCAAACTCTCTGTGCTAGGTCCCGTGTCTGAGTCACCATGGCTACCTGGCTTCTTCAAAGCCCCGCAATATCAGACCATAGCACTGGGAGGTAAAACAATAACTGGGGATGATTTAAACCGTATCAGTGTACTTTGCACTCTCAATCAAAAGCAGCCAGGTTAAACACAGAGAAAACATCATGGGAGTAACATACTGTCGGAACACATGAACCTATTCTAGTGGTCCATTGGCTTGCTTTAGTAATATTTTGCTTACACGTTATACAATAACAAAATATGATTCAAATACTTTTGATAAAGTCTTCTACAAAACCAAGACATCAATTAAATGCCACATTAGACATTTTTGAAAAAGGTTTTCACATTTTTCTGCACGTTAACGCCTTAAGGACCAGGGCTTTTTTGATGCAACACATTTTTGACCAAGTCTTTTCTGGTGTTTTTGCCATGCATTCGTTCTACCACAACTTCCCCTTTTCTGTTTAAAGGGATCGTATAGTGCCAGGAAAACTAATCAGTTTTCCTAGCGCTATAGCAGGGCTTGACAAATTTGCTTTAACTCTAGGAGCCAGCAAAAACAGTTAGGAGCTAAGTTTTTCAATGTCAAAAATATAATTCTTAAAGGGACTCTATAGTCACCAGAACCACTACAGCTTAATGTAGATGTTCTCGTGTCTATAATCTGTCCCTCCACACTTTTCAATGTGAATCCTTCCTTTTCAGAGACAAGGCATTATTTATATTGTTGCATAGTAACACTTCTAGTGAAAGTCACTCAGCCTCTGGAGTGCATCCTGGGTCAGTGCTGCACAGTACGCAGCACCTACGTTTAGCGTCTCCATGCTCTGCATAGAGGCACTGAATGTTCCCCATAGAGCTGCATTCATTCAATTCATCTCTCTGAGGAGATGCTGATTGCACAGCATGGCGTTTTGCCACACATGCGCAATAGCCTCCCAATGCTTTCCTATGGGAAAGCATTGGATTGTCTGAGATCATCAAGATTGATGATCGCAGTCATGGAGACAGGACCAGCTGCGGTGAGACCAGCACAGCGTGATTGATGGGGGACAAGTAACCTAAACACGCACTCACTGTCACTGCAATTACAACACACATTAAGGTGACCACCCAGCCTCCCTACCTGGAGCTGGAGTGGTTTGGCTTTCCCTGGGGTCCAGTGGGGCTTCAGTCATCTCCCTGCTCTGCTCCATAGAGCAATGTTTAGTGATGCCGGGGCCGGAATTATGTCATATTCCAACTCCCGTCATCACTGGAGGTAGCGCGCGAGAGAGCAGAGCAGGGAGGGATGTCACAGCTCCCTCACGTGCCTGCCAGTCTGTCTCAATCCTCCAGAAGCTTCCCACCCATGCGAACACCTCATCTCTCTATCAGATGTCCGGCGGACCTCCCGCAAATGATCTCCTTTTAGCTCTCCACTCGGATGACGACCTTGGGCTGAATGGGCCAACAAATCTCAGACGCAAGCACTAAAATCCTTCTCGACCTGGCGCCTGGGATTTGTTGAGCCCTTCACTATAGGGTTAGTAGGGTTCTCTGGAATGTTTTACATTGCAGCACTAAGTGCAAAAGGGTCACAGCACCCAGGCTACTTCAATTAGCTGAAGTGGTCTGGGTGCCTTAAGAGTCCCTTTAAGTGCACCATCCATATTATATATAATTTTTTTATCCTTATAATTTAAAGGACCACTCTAGGCACCCAGACCACTTCAGCTTAATGAAGTGGTCTGGGTGCCAGGTCCAGCTAGGCTTAACCCATTCTTTTATAAACATAGCAGTTTCAGAGAAACTGCTATGTTTATGAATGGGTTAAGCCTTCCCACAATTCCTCTAGCGGCTGTCTCATTGACAGCCACTAGAGGCGCTTGCGTGCTTCTCACTGTGAAAATCACAGTGAGAGCACACAAGCGTCCATAGGAAAGCATTGATAATGCTTTCCTATGTGACCGGCTGAATGCGCGCGCAGCCAGCCGCATGGGAGGAGAAGAGGAGGAGAGCTCCCCGCCCAGCGCTGGAAAAAGATAAGTTTTTACCCCTTTCCCCCTTCCAGAGCTGGGCAGGAGGGGGACCCTGAGGTTGGGGGCACCCTCAGGGCACTATAGTGCCAGGAAAACAAGTATGTTTTCCTGGCACTATAGTGGTCCTTTAAGGAGAACGAAGGCATTAATGCTATACTATGTTGGAAGAAATTTTTTTTTTTTTTAAATAGTGGGGCAAAAAATTTTTTCACTGTATTACATGCAATACTTTCTACACACCAATTGCAAGGAAAGAAAACTCACTCAAAATAGATTTGCTTATTAGTCCTGATTGTTAACATGCCCAATATGTCTAGGATTTTAATTATTTTTTTTAGACGTTCTAAAACAAATACTGCAAGGAGTGAATATACGGTTTTAAAGCTAAAACTTTTCCAAATTTGGCACACTGACATTACAACTTCAATAATAGTCACAGATTCTAAAACTGCTACAAAAAGTATATATTTGTAGAAAGTGCATCCTTTGGGCTATGTAATTAACAGCATTCTGGCACTTCTCATTTAACCATTTTTTTCACAAACCGAAGTCCTATTAGTCAATCTTGTGGGTTTTTTTCTACACGTTTTATTTCTGGGAAATTCACAGCACATGCATGTCCCATTGCTGCACACACCATATTTGTATTCTGCTAATGTTCTCAAGTACAATAATAATCCACAAGTATACCTTTTCCTACCCCTAATCTAACTGCCAATCCTAATTCCACCCCGATCCCAATTTAGAAGATATTCCCTCTGCTGATATCTGTATTGACATAAGCAGTGGGATTTCCTAGCTCACACAGTACAGAGGGCTCTGTGTAGTATGAGAGGGAGAGCTCACTCACGCACACACAAATCGATCCTGGGGAACTGGCAAAGCCCAGCACAGATCCTAGGGGGAATGGGGAGATTACCTCATGATCTTTTCAGATGTCGGGGTTCTCTGAAACTTGGGGACACTGTGCTAGGCTACCATGGCATTTTAAGGTCTACAAGCGGCGCTTATCTTGAGCGCAGCTCATAGCTCATCTGTCAGTCTGGGGCCACTAACTCTGACCCCTGTTGTCAGAGGGAATCTACAGATATAAAACCATACATAGGGTTACCCTTTTTATTAACAATGGAGATTGTGGCAATTAAAGAAATACCTGTGCTAGGCAATATCGCTCATGTTATTTATAAAGTTATGAGCAGTGTTCACAGCTCATCTGTCACTCTAGTGGACCCACTAAAGATACCTGGCGGTCCTTAGTCCAGTAGGGATTTAACCCCTGGGTACCTGCACTGCATGACGGTCTGTGCCATCATTGGGCATTAAAGTATTGCACTGCATGACATCATAGGCTGTCATGTGGTCCTTAACTGATTAAGTTCACCTTTAACAAGAGTTTCTAATTAAAAATTGACTAATCAATTACTGATGCCAGGAGTTATAAATTTATGCAGCCCTAGGCTGTGTTGCTCTTGATCTACAGCGGGATTAAAAGTGTTCTGCATTGCACATTGGTTTAGTAGCTGCCCTTTGTAATTTTCCAGGTACAACATTACTTTATTTTGTTTGGCAGTGTTTAAAGGAATACTCAGGCCATTTACTTTCACTTTGGATAAACTGGTCTTTAGAAATTTTTGCGGTCTTATGCCGTTCTAAGAGTGCTCTGTCACCTATGCATTAATGCACTTGTGTTTTTAGTGTGATGGATTAAGGAAGCCAGTCATGATCAATTTATACATTTTGACAATCTTTATGTAAATGCATAATGGAATACACCAATAAAGGCACAGAAAACCAACTGAAACCAGGGATGTACTTCCATTGTTCAGCTGATTATTCCAGCCAATGAGCCAGACCCTATATGAAAGGGCTTACCACAATTAAAGCCAACAGGGAGCGGGAAAGGAGGATGGCGACGGCAACCCAGGAACATTGTCAAACCTTTTTTGACTACTTGCTGTGGAATGGCGACAGGGCACTCCTAGCACAATAATTAATACCATAACGCCATTCCTCAGCAAGTGACACTTGGATGTGTATGTAATATTTGTTAACCTGAAAAACTTCCCATTCTGTCCAATTGTTTTAAAGTATGCAGTGTAGTAGTTATGTCTCATCTACCCATTGTAAACAGTCAGTTTGCTAAAGGCTTGACTTCTTACCGGGATCCTGCTTCCTGCTATCTGCTGATATTGATTTCATCACTCAACCAGCGAGCTAAGCCCTGCACTTGTGGTCTTAGCTCAATGATGAGAGCTTCTGGCTGCACAGAGGCAGGGAAGTTGGGCATTGGACAATTGGCAAACGGTTTGACTATTTGTGTTGGGGGTGCATGGGCACTCATGGCACCTTAAATACTACAGTAAGCTTTAGCACTTGTGGTGCTTGGAGTGTTCCTTTAATATATGCAATATTTTTAAGCCACCTGCAAAGGAAATAAACCCACCCTACCAAAGTCCTGAAAAGGGACACTATAGCCACTAGAAAAACTACAGCTTATTGTATTTGTTCAGGTTAGTATAATCAGTCCCTTCAGGCTTATTGCAGTAACAATGTCTTTTAAGAGACAATCCTGTGTTTACATTACACCCTAGGGATGCCTCCACTGGCCACTCCTCAGATGGCTGCTAGAGGTGCTTCTTGGGGCAGTGCTATAGAGTGTGACTGACATTCAGTGTCTCCTTCCTCTGCATGGAGACACTGAACTTTCCTCATAGCGATGCACTGATTCAATGTATCTCTATGAGGAGATGCTGTGTTGGCTCTGCCCCTGATCTGCCACCTTGACAGTCTCAGCCAATCCAACGCTTTCCTATGGGAAAGCATTGTGATTGGCTCAGAAAACCACTTCTGATGTCAGCCAAAGAGGAAGATCAGGGGCAGAGCCAGCACTAGAAGACTTGAATAAAGGTAAGATTTTACTATATTTAGGGGGGCAAGATGGTGTTTTTAACACCTGACTCCTTCTTTATTTTTACTTTGTATCTTTTCTCAATTGGATAATCCTCTGCAGTTTCTATGTCTTGCAGGTATCTTGTTAAGTAGGCACTGCAATCTGTATAACACACAAATCATGAACTTTAACTAATCCATAGACCACTCTAGGGAATTTTGTGGTCTGGTAAGCTTAAGTAGAAATCCCAAGCCATCACAAAAGCCAAATGATGAGTCTGGATTTAGAGTCAAACACAAACCACCTGTTCTATTTCTGATGCATTTTTAATTGCATAGAAGCTGCATCAAATTCATAATGTGCTCATTTTTTTCATTTTGAAGGTATTAATAATGCATCCCCAAAAACAAACCAGAACATTAAGACATTTGTATTCATTACATAAGTAATATTTACTTTTTAAGATAATTCTTGCGAAAATGGGAGATAAGTTGGCAGCAACGTTTTAGATATATTCATGTTGTGAAACACAAGCCTATATTCCAATTATACTGGCTAGCCATTAATCTATAATGTGTTAATTATCTGCAAACCCTTGCCGTAAATTTGTTCACAAGCATAAGTAAAACTATCTTATATTGCTCCATTGGTAAAGAATGGAGTTCCCCTACCCTCCATCTTTCCTCAGGTCTCTTTTTACTGCCACAAAAATCTTTGCTTAAATTATCTGTATAATTAGTAAAATAGTTTATAATTCAAGGATTGACAAACTTTACTAGATTTCAAGAGTTGGGCACAAATATTTAGGTGTCAGTCAACAGTACCACGGTAGGAGTTATGGCTCCCAGCAATTGTTGTGTCCTGTAATTAAGTGCCTGGAGTACTTGCTGTACTGATAGATACGGAGAATTTTACATGCTCCATTGGGTTTGGGATTACGTTTCAAATTAGTGTTTGGATTAGGATTAGAGTCAGTAAGGGAATTCCTCTGCGGATATCAACAGATTTAATCATTCAAACACTATTTATAGACTTGGGATTAAAGGAACACTATAGTCACCAGATCAACTACAGTCCAATGTAGTTGTTCTGGTGAGTATAGTCCTTCCCTACAGGCTTTTTGTTGTAAGCTTAGTGTTTTCAAAGAAAATGCAGTGTTTACATTGCTCCTTATGGACACCTCCAGATTGCTAATGGGTAGCAAGCTACCTAAATGGTGGTTTTAACACTATAAGGGCAGGAAAATACACGATTATGTTCCTGACCCTATAGAGTTTCTTTAAGTTTAGGATTAAGGTTAAAACTGAGGTTAGGCTTAGAATTAGGGGTTTGATTAGGTCTTTTGTTAGATTTAGGTTTAGATTTTGGACTTTATATTTGGTTTAGGATTAAAGGTAAACTCTAGGCCTGGAAAACAAAGTGTTTTTTTGTTTGGTTTTTTTTTCCTGGCACTATAGCTTTCTGTAGTGCCCCTGTATGCCAAGGCCCTTTAACTTTAAAAAAATAAATAAAAAAAACACACACACAAAAAAAACCCCTCTGACACTTACCGATATCACTTAGTGCTGGCTTGGGACGCGCTCACATTAGGACTTCCCCCTTAAGAAAGCATTATATAATGATTTCCTATGGGGTTTCGGGTGACACTGGATGTCCTAATGTCCCGGAAGTTCCTCTAATCTAGTGACATTTTGGTAAATGGTATGCATTTGAGGGGATTTAAATCATGAAACTGCTACAATGCCCCAAAATGTAGAGTAGGCCTATCAAATTCATCAGTGAAAATTCTTATTGTAACAAAGGCGTTGCAAATAATTGGGGGTATTGATTTTAAGCATACTTTGGGGGTTTGATCACAGTGGCACATAGATTTTAGAAAATGTATGGCGTATATAAAAAAAAATATCACAAACCGTCAAAAATGGCGGCACACTGAGGCACAATATACACCATATGAGATACCATGGAATGTCTGTTTTCACAAATGATCGGTGTTTGTGGGGTAATTATAACTAGAAGTAATTTCACTGGAGTTAACCCTGCAAGTTAGTTATTGCAGTTTATCAATAACTGCAATAATTACAATTGCAGGGTTAAGGGCACTGGAACAGTGCACTCAGACCACTTCAGTGATCTGAAGTTGTCTGGGTGCCTGTAGTGTCCCTTTAAGTTGTGCTAATTATACACACAGTATTGTTGCCAACACTGATAGATATATGATTTTTTAACATCTGTATATGTCACATCAAATTAAAGCCCCCCTTTCCTTTAAAAAACAGTTTATATGTGTTTGTGCAGTAAATTAGAGATGGAAATTGCGGTTGAACAAAGAAAGGGCAAAAGTGTAAAAATTGGTCCTTACATGCAAAACAAATAATGTTGTCCTTATGGAGTTAATGTTGTCTAAATGTTATATAAAATGCTTGTTGCGCTTTAGAACATGCATTCCCGTAACTGCTACATCCGATTTTCATCTCTTCTGGTCTTGTTCTTTCGCATGCCAGTCCCATTTATAGATTGTAAGTTTAATGACAAGTAAAAAGCTCTTATATCAGTTTATTTTATGCCTGCCCATCCCTTGTGTTTTACCCATTTACAATATACTGAGTGTACCCATTATTAAAAATTGAGAGCTATGCACATGCTCAATATAACTGCAGTCATACCGCAGAAATACATGTGAACGAGGGAACATCAGGATTTAAGGAGCACTATAGTGCCAGGAAAACAAACTTGTTTTCCTGGCACTATAGGGTTTTTAGGTCCCCCCTCCAGCCCCTTACCTTAATCCAACGCCAGGCTCCGTCTGCGCTGGTGACCTCTTCTCCCCCTGCCAATGTCAGCTCCGAATGGGCATGCGTGGCCAGTGCCATGTGCGCATTCAAACCGCCCATAGGAAAGCATTGCTCAAGGTTTTCCTATGGACATCCAGCGTGTCCTCAACGCTTAAGCGGCCTCTTGTGGCTGTCAGGGAGACGGCCACTAGAGACTGGATTAACCCTCAATGTAATAGCAGTTTCTCTGAAACTGCTATGTTTACAGCTGCAGAGTTAAAACTAAGGGGACCTGGCACCCAGACCACTTAATTGAGCTGAGGTGGTCTGGGTGCATATTCTGGTCTTTTAAGAAAGGTATTGGTATAAATTATACATTGAACACATGTCAAGAAGTGCATAGTTGTGAATTGTATTCTCTTTTTAGATACATTCTTACTGTTGTATAAAACTTTGGAAAAGTTTTTGAAATAGACACTCTGGGTGTTAAAATGCCCTTGTCATCACTTTTTTGTTTTCTTAATTGGATTTTGGATTTTCATTCCTGTTAGATTAGTAACGAGCACTTGACTGCATCTTCCATTGTGTAAAATTCTTACCATTTTAAGTTGGATCAATTTTGAGTCATAGTCCTAAAATGTTTAGCTACTCAACATGTCTTTCAAATAACCCTACCTGGATTTTCATTTCTTTTTTTTAATGTGTAATTTAAAAAAAAAAATGTTTTTGTGTGTGTGGGGTTTGGTAGTTTATTGTAGCTCAGCCATGAGCTATTCTCCCTGATATATTGTTATGGCCTATAAAGTTCATTTACAATCTCTCTTAAAGCTCTCCAAATTTTATTAGATTTTTGATGTGCAGATCAGGAGTTGTCTGGAATGAATATTAAAAAAAAAAAATTTTAAAAATGGAGGAAAGTGACATTTGCATTTTTTTTTGACATGGTAGATATTTGCTCTTTTTTTTTTTAACCCCGATGCTCATATCGTGGAGACTCTTAAGACCCTGATTAATTTGCCTTTGAGCTGGGTTCACAGTGTAGTGAAAGGCATACTAGTTGAGTTTTTTATGAGGTTAATTTGTCTTTCTCTAAGCAAGTTCCTTAAAGGAACACTATATAGAAACAAACCTGCATTCCTGACACTAGAGTGCTGGTGTGGATATTTAGGCGACCTGTCCCACTCAATCACGCTGAAAGGGTGCGCTTACTTACCTTTTCTGACGCGTCGGGCTCCGCTTCCATGGCTGAGATCAGCAATTGTGATCTCAGCCAATCCAATGCTTTCCCACAGGAGGCTATTACAAATGTGCGGCAAAATGCCACACTGAGTCTATAAGCATCTCATCAGAGATACATTCAATGAATGCCTCTCTATGGGGAATATTCTGGGTCTCTGTGCAGAGGGTGGAGACACTGAATGCTAGTGTTGCACACTGTGCAGCACTGGACTAGGAAGCACCTCTAGTGGGCATCTGAGTGACTGCTACTAGAGATGTTACTAGGCACCAATGTAAACACTGCCTTTTCTCTGAACATTAAAGTGGTGACTATAGTGCTCTTTTAAGAGTGACAGAGGGAACAATGGTTAACTGGAATAGGCCAGCAAGTTGTTTAGAGCTAACCAAACACACTGTGCACCAACAATATGAAATTAATTGGGAGCCATTGCATAGACCGTGATCTGAAACAGTCTGGAGTTCATGGTTAGTCGGTTGTTGTTGTTGTTGTTGTTGTTATTGTTATTATTATTATTATTATTATTATTATTGGCATTTATATAGCTCCAACGTATCCCACAGCACTTTGCAATTAAAGAGGTAAAGAATGCCCTGCTCAAACAAACTTGCAATCTACAGCTTTATATTCATAACACTAAAGTTTTAAATTTATGCCCTTGGGTATTCCTTTCTTAGCGCATGCTTGCATGGCACGGTGTGTTGTGATTTTGCATGCTATACTTTGGCTATACCTGGACAGTCAGCAATACACTGTAAAAAAGAATAGCATAACTCTCAGCTGGTTTTTATTTCAATGTTTGTGCAAAATCCACTGAAGTTGACCATTCTGTTGTAAAATGATAATATAGTATTATAATTTTACAATTACTAAAACTTAGTGTTAACCGACATGTTTGTCTAACAGATCCTCATTGTATGGCTGAGTGCTGGAGGTTACTGTTCCAGTAGTTTACTAGCATCTTACCTTTAATACATTTTGGTTATTATACTCTGGGTCCCTTTTAAGGATTGCTGAACCTCTGTGATTGAGCACTACTTGATTAGGTAATAAAGCTGTCGGCATCATAAATAGCCTCTTATTTCTATGAGAGAGTCTGACCTCCTGATCTAGCTGTTAGTCATCTGGCAGTTAACCATATATTACAGTGCAGTAAGCAGTGGTGTTTATAGTGCATTCAATGTATTTTTAGTTATGTGGGTCTACCTCCTTCTTAAGCACTTGTAGTGTAACCTTTTGGTGGTGTTCTTGTTTAACTTAAGAAATAACACCTCCAATAGCAGATTTTCTGAGGACTCTTGGTTTTCATGCTTCCACTACCTGAATGATTCAGATACTTAAAGGAAAAATTATAGTGTCAATAGTACAGACCTGTATTCCTGACACTATAGTGCTGAAGTGGATTTTTAGGTGAATTGACCCTTCCCTGTGCAGTAAAAAGGTGATTTTTTTTTTAGACCGTGAGCTCCATCCCCCAATTATGGTTCTAAGTAGTTTGGCCAAAAACTGGGTATTCCTGTTCTCCCATGGGCTAGCCCCATAGCCAACCAATGAATGACTTTTTAGTGTAGACAAATTCAATATTGATAACGCAGAGGTGTAACTTATATACCCCACAATAGACGTCGGGGAGTCTGAGCTGCCGATGCCTCAGAGCAGTTTGACCATGAACTGGGTAATGGTGTCTGCAGTCAAAATGGAATGTAGTAGGTTTGGTGCCTGGGCTGCCCTTTAATGGCACATGCTGTAATGTTGGCATTTCTCATTTTGAATTAATATGTAATTGTGCGTGTAAAAATGGGGACTACAGTTCATGCTAGTATAGTATATGCATACAGATGAAACACCTACTATCAGAATGAGTGGGTTGTTAAGGCAACCGATGTGCTACCGATGAATTGTGTTTTGGAAGTTTGCTCATTTGTATACCTCCCACTCATCCAAAATTAATCAGAATCTATCTTATCAACGTGTACATTTACCAGCCATGTGACTAATGGAATGTGTAGGTGAGGTTCTAGATGCTTATACCCAGTCCTCCCAGTTGTTGGTTCACTTCTTGAACCCATGTCACCACGAGATATGAGGTGGGTAAAGGACACCAGTGAGGATTATTAAAAATGCTGCTTAGAGATGTAAAAAGACTAAACTACAAAAATCATGAATTTACCCAACTTCTTGAAAATAGTTTATTGCTGCTTTAAGAAGGAGCTGTCCCTTTACTTAAAGCAGATCTTTAAGTAACTTTTTTTGTTTGTTACTTTTTTCTTTCTCAATATTGGCATGTTCCAATCGCCCCACACCCCAATAAGTTGTATATACCCAAAACACTTTTTTGTTTGTATAACCAGAAGGTTTACAAAGGGTGGAGCAGTCAAGCGCCAATAGCCTTTGTCATCTTTTTCATTAGTTATACTCGCCTCCTTCCAGCATAACATCCTTGGCATCTGTGTTGACTCTCATTTGGTTATGAAAGTCAACAAGGGTTCTTTGAAGGAGGCCTTGAGTTTTTGCGCCATTTAGCACTTCAGTTTCTCTAAAAGTGCTCTGGCTGACTATAGTGCCTCTTTAATAAAATAAAAAGTAAACCCCTCTAGTGTTCCCTTTTTAACGGGACTACTTTTATTCTTTTTAATACATACATGCAGTGACTTAAAGGGACACTCCATTGCCCAAATACAAAATATATAAAAATCACTGTTTAGTAGATATATCTCAATTATAATGAAGTCTTTTTTTATCATTGGGGTTATATCTAAATACAGCTTGAAAAACCTGCAGTTCTCTCGTCTGCAGCCTTTGCAAACCCTCCCCTTTTAACGTTGCCAAGACTGTTGCTGCCCAATCACAGACTTCCCAATGCTGCTCAATGGGAAGTCTTTGCACGGCAGGTGCTCTGGGCAATTACTGCCTCTTGAGTTTAGCTCCACTGAGCTAACCAAACCAGGAAGCAACAGAACCTGTTTTCTGTTTGAAAACAGAGGGCGTGTAACCATTTTAATTTTATAAAAGTGTCAATTTCTATGAAAGGGACACATTCTTCACACATAATGCTTTTCTGCAAGCTAAAGTACTTTAGGGGTCTGAAGGCCCCTTTAACAGGAAGTCTTCCCGGGTTTTCCATTAAATAAATATTGTGATGATCAAGTTACTTAAAAAGCCAGCATACCCCTCAGTGATATAGAGGCTTAATGGGGTGCTTCTGCTAGCTAACTATTGCATTCAAACGCCACAACTTGCTTGCTATAGGTTAAAGTTAAGTCTTTACCCAAAATAATGAGCATCTAGTTTTCTTTTCCCCAGAATATCTTGTGTATTTTGTCTTTAGTCTTAATGCGGTTGTTGAGCTGTCCGCTGAACAATCAATGCTGGAAATATATTCAAATGCAGATAGATCTGTTTTGCATCAGCACAAATAGGAGAGAATTAAAATGGCTGAACGAACATGAAGCGATCCAGAGTGAAATATGTGGATTGCTACCCTGGTCAGGCAAGCCGTGCATTATGGGATGTTTTAGAATGTAGCATATTAGGTGCATAACCTTTCTGTCACAGAATGAGCTGAAGTGTTCTCAAGAAAAGCCAAGAGGAAGCTGTATACTGATGATTGGGCTGATTAAACGAAGACTATGAAATTCTCTTTCTAAGGTCATTTGAGTAGCCTGTAGGAACTGCCAAGCACAGGAGAAAAAAAAGCACCTTCTGCAGTTGCTGGGCAGATTTCTATTTGCTATGGGAGACCAACTGCTTTGTTTGCATCTAAAAAGGAGAGTTACAGCCCTGAAGGCACCTTGTAGGCAGGATTTGATGAGTCCATTGTGGGCCTAATGAAGTTTAAGCTTAAAACAGAGGCTGTGTGCTCAAATAGTTAAATGCTTAATGACTGCAGCTGGTATGCAAATGAACTGGCTGTTTATACGTCTTCCTACTGTATCCATTGAAAACTCAGTGTCTCAGAAACACAAGCTTTTATACTTGAGTTTATCTTTACCTAAAGATGGTAAAGTGTCAGTTTTTTTTTTTAAATTATTTTATACAGTGCTCTAGAATGAAGAGCAGAAATGCTAAATTCAATTAGATTGTAGAACATTTTAATTGCGTCCCTCAATATTACTTTCAATTCCACAGCGTTTGTCTCAATGTGTATCGTTCCCAAAATAGCACAGTGACTTTCTTATGCCATATGTCGATTTAAATAAAGAAATAACATAAACCATGTTAGGTGCTGAGTGAATGGACGTGTTATGGTTATCACATGCTGTGTGTTATGGCAATATGAGACATTGCCATCTAAAATTATATATACTATGCACACCATGTACCCCTAGCTTTTATGATGGTTTCTTAATATACACAGCCACTTTGCCATCTAAATAATATATTAACTAGGTAAGTAAAACTAATCCTGCAGCACCTTATGTTCTTTTGATGGTAAACACATTTTCAGCAGAAAAATCAGCTGTGATAGTAAACACTAAGCCACATACCTACTGCTGCAGCTTATTCTAGTGTTTTTTTTTTGGCTTTTGGCTGCGGATGCAGTTCGCCTTGGTTTTGTATAACCGTTTCAAGTGGCTGGTGAAAACGGGGGGATTCTGCAGCAACCTAAGCCACCTGCCCTTCAGCTATTGATGTGATAATGAGCAATTACACTTAGTTATTCATCCAAATATTGGAACAGTGTGAGCACTCAGTGTGTGCTCACATCTACAAGTAATAGGATGTGAATGCCAGGCTATGAAAGAATTAATCTGTGTTGAGTCCTCATTTATCAAAAGTAAGTTAGAATTTATTTTAAAAGGAATTATAATCACCAATTCTTGTATAGAGCTATATTCACTTTATGCTTGCTGTTTACTTTAGTCAAGTGAGTTCATTCTGGTGAACGAAAAAGTTTAGCACCCGACATCTTATGTTAGGTATTTATTTCACTTAGAAAATAATTACTGCAAATCCCTTGCAGTAGCATATATATGTCTAAAGGGGCACCACAGGTTAGAGTTCAACCTTTTTTCTTCTTAAGGCTGTACTGTCACCTAAAATTGTTGTGAAATACTGACAGACTGTGTTGAAATTACACTGCAATTCAAAGTAGGGACTATTAGACCTAACAGAGAGACAATTTGGTTTGCGCAGTGCAGCGTTTTGCCATGCTTGCACACAGGCCTCCCAATGTAGGCTTTGGCTGAGATCATGTGCGCTGATGATCTCAGCCAATTAGGCAGAGCACGATCTGGAGACCAGCACTGAAAGATAAGCAATACTTACCATTCAAACATCTACAACCTGGGGGAGGGGACACAGACACACCTAAATAGTTGTCAGGACACTATAGCGTTAGGAATACAGGTTTATATTGCTAATGCTATAGTGTTCCTTTAAAAGTCATTTTAGTATGTGTGCTCTCTGGCTGACTGCCACTGGTTCCCCCTCATATTCCCCTGCAGTGCAAACACCATGTTGTTTTAGATATCTTCCAGTGGAAATCGCAGCTGAAAATACAATAAATGTTTAGCTGAAAATGTGTGAGGATGTAGCTTAATATATATTTTTTTTAAGCAAGGTATTTAGTGACCGTGCCATTTAAAATGACTTTAGGCTTCTGTAGTGTAACCTACCCTCCAGATAAATTTTGCATTGCAGATCATTGAAAATAGTCACTTTGCAGGAGTGATGTCAAACTACAGTATGGTTATCTATAAAAGCTTTCAGACTATATCCGAATAAAAAAAATTCTGCCATGAGTACTTTGTTCAGCTTGTCATTTAATATATAGCATGGAAAAAGGATTTTGTGCTCCCTGTATTTCAGCGTACGGATTCACCAATATAGTGTCTGAATTGAATTTGCTTTGATAAAACCGTGAAAGAAGATCAGCAGCAGGGTGTTAGGTTTGCTCATTTTCAAAGCATCAATAGGTTTTATTTTAGGTCCATAATCTCTGGACTGATGGGATTACAGGTTAAGAAATATTAACTTGTTTAAGGTGTTAAGCATCCAGACTGGATTCAGTTGCAGTGCTCTGCAGATGCCCTTAGTGATTAATCAAGGATGTTCCTATTTGTTTGTGCCATGCACTTGGTAGATAAAATGGGCATCCATCATTTCAGGTTGGACTTGGTCCCTGGACAATTTATGTAGGCAATGCATTTAAAATAATGAGGGGAAAAAACAATAACATGTTAATGTTACATCAAACTGTGACCTCATTCAAATACTGCTCAGCATTCGTGCTGAGACTCTATACAATAAGACTCACAGACATCCCTTCCTTTCTCATACACAATGACACTTCTTGCAAATACTTCTGTGAATTAAACACATAACACTCCATGCAGATACAACCGAACATTCCAACTTACTATGTACAAAACTACACCCAACTATCAAACACCGAATAGAAACAAAAAAGTCATTTTGGAGATTTATTCTGTGCACTAATTAACTACACAAACTATTAGTAAGCTGAAAGTTAAGTGATATTGTTGGTGATATTTGTGTATACAGAGCTATGGTTTAACTGATAAAATCACCTGATAAATCTGTATCTAAGTGATGAGTGTGATTTCATTGCTTAATAAACTTCAAATTTATGTAGATATGATATTGAGCACCAAATTTATTTCATTTACAATAAAAAATGTGTATAAAAATCTCTGATTTAATTGTATGCAGCCATATTGGGAGAATAAAAAATGCTCCACGCAATGGCAAATTAAATCCAATAATGCTAAAAGCGATCCCTAGTGGTGCAATGATCTTACATGGACCCACGAAAATCACTTGGGGTCCATATGAGACATTTGCACCATTAGGGATCACTTTTGAATCATAAAATAACCTTGGAGCTTTTGGGTTTTTGTTGTTTGTTTTCCTTTGCAACTGTATTTTCTAAGTATAAGAGAGGGCAAATTGGTCATGATTTTGCTATAAATTGCTTCCTTAACACAGTAGAATGTATTAACAAATATTGATGCATTGTTTGACTAAACACCACCTTATCTGATTTCTTACAGAATACCCACACCCAGCAATATGTGAGGATCAGTTGCTGACCCAATGGAGGAGGCCACAAGAGTAGTGTCCCGTTGCTTTGGTGTCTAAGAAACTGTTTTTGGATATCGTTTGGAATCTAAGAATGAAAAATACACCCGTCTGTCTAAATGAGCTCAGGAGGGTGAGAGGGGAGTGATGATGGCAAAAAATAAGGAGCCTCGTCCCCCATCATATACCATTAATGTGGTAGGATTGTCTGGAACAGAAAAGGATAAAGGCAACTGTGGAGTAGGGAAGTCTTGCTTGTGCAACAGATATGTCCGCCCAAAGGCTGATGAATACTACCCAGAACATACTTCTGTCCTTAGTACAATTGACTTTGGAGGACGTGTTGTCAACAATGATCACTTTTTGTATTGGGGTGACGTAACACAGAGTGGTGAGGATGGGATTAACTGCAGGCACCACATAATTGAGCAGACGGAATTCATAGACGATCAGACTTTTCTCCCCCATCGAAGTACAAATCTTCAACCCTATATAAAGCGTGCTGCAGCTTCGAAGCTCCAATCAGCCGAGAAACTCATGTACATTTGCACGGACCAACTTGGTTTGGAGCAGGACTTTGAGCAGAAGCAAATGCCCGAAGGGAAATTAACAATAGATGGTTATGTGCTATGCATTGATGTCAGCCAAGGATGCAACCGTAAATTTGAGGATCAGCTCAAGTTTGTTAATAATCTCTATGCGCAAGTAGCTAAAGCAAAAAAACCCATCATCATTGCAGCAACAAAATGTGACGAATGCGTCGATCATTATTTGAGGGAAGTTCAGGGGTTTGCTTCCAACAAGAAAAACTTAATGGTTGTGGAAACATCAGCCCGGAATAATATCAATGTGGAAACCTGTTTTACAGCGTTGGTTCAAATGCTGGATAAAACCAGAAGTAAACCTAAAATAATTCCTTACCTGGACGCATTTAAAACACACAGGCAGCTAGTTGCCTCTGCTACTGACAAATATGAGAAGCTTATTGTGCAAACTGTGCGTGATTACCATGCAACATGGAAAACTATCAGTAATAAGTTGAAGAACCACCCGGACTATGACAACTACATCAACTTGGAGGGAACATCGAAGGCCAAAAACACTTTTAACAAACATATAGAGCAGCTTAGGCAGGATCACGTTCGAAAACGAAAAGAAGAGTACCTTAAAACATTACCAAAAACGCTTAACACATTATTACCTAAACTAGACGAAATTGAAAATTTAAACTGGGCAGAAGCTTTGCAACTGCTTGAAAAAAGGCCTGACTTCAGCTTGTGGTTTGTTATGTTGGATAAAACTCCCTGGGATCAGTCTGATCATATTGATAAACTAAATGACAGAAGAGTTCCTTTTGATCTGCTCTGCACTTTAGAAGCTGAGAAAGTCTATCAAAGCCACGTCCAACAACTGGTATCTGAGAAGAGGAGAGTTGAAATGAAGGTGAAATTTAAGAAAACCCTTGAGAAAATACCATTTATTTCTCCTGGACAGCCCTGGGAAGAGGTAATGTGTTTTGTTCTGGATGATGAAGCTTACAAGTTCATCAATGAGACAGACCGGGTGGAAGTTTACCGCAAACACCAGAGAGAAATTATCGAAAAAGCCAAAGAGGAATTTCAGGAGATGCTCTTCGAGCACTCGGAATTGTTTTATGACTTGGATCTCAATGCCACTCCTAGCACTGATAAAATGAGTGAGATTAACGCTGTCCTTGGGGAAGAACCAAGATACAAAGCTTTGCAGAAGCTTGCAACAGACAGGGAATCTCTCCTTCTCAAGCACATAGGATTTGTTTATCATCCAACTAAAGAAACTTGTCTAAGTGGCCAAAACTGTATGGACATTAAGGTAGAACAGGTTCTTGCCAATAGCCTACTGCAGTCAAATCTTGGTCGTCTCACCTTGTACCATGATGGGGCTAACCTTGATAAGGTAAATCTTCTTATTCTAGGGAAAGATAGTCTATCACAGGAGATGACTAATGAGATAAGAACACAGTCGACAGATGATGAGTTTGCATTGGATGGAAAAATATATGAATTGGACTTGAGAGCAGTTGATGCAAATTCACCATACCTTTTAAGCCAGTTATGGACTTTAGGTTTTAAGCCACATGGTTGTTTCTGTGTTTTTAGCTCAATAGAATCTCTTAATTTTATTGGGGACTGTATTGGAAAGATTCGTGGGGAAGCCCAGTCAAGGAGAGATAAGGATATTCTTAACCTTCCATTCACTTTAATTTTGGCTAACCAGCGAGACAGTGCAAGCAAAAATTTGCCAATTTTGAGGCATCAAGGGCAGCAGCTGGCAAATAAACTTCAGTGTCTATTTGTAGACATATCTCCTGGGACATGTCCTCGAAAATTTAACGAGACTCAGATAAAGCAAGCATTAAGAGGAGTACTGGAGTCTGTCAAACACAATTTTGACATTAGCAGTCCAGTTCCCACTATTAAAGAACTTTCAGAAGCAGACTTGAGGATAGTGATGTGTGGGATGTGTGGAGATCCCTTCAGTGTAGATCTTATCCTTTCTCCATTTCTTGAGTCCCGGACGTGTAGTGCTGCTCAGCCAGGTCAAAATAACTCCCTGATGCTTGACAAAATTATTGGTGAAACACGGAGGAGGATACAGATAACCATATTATCATATCACTCCTCTATTGGAGTGAGAAAAGATGAACTTGTTCATGGATACATTCTGGTTTATTCTGCTAGACGCAAGGCCTCTATGGGAATGCTCCGTGCGTTTCTTTCAGAGATACAGGACACCATTCCTGTCCAGTTGGTAGCCGTAACAGACAGCCAAGCAGACTTCTTTGAAAATGAGGCTATTAAAGAACTAATGACGGAAGGGGAACATATAGCAACTGAAATTTCAGCAAAATTCACTGCCCTGTATTCACTGTCTCAGTACCATCGCCAAACAGAGGTTTTTACACCATTCTTTAGTGATGTTTTAGAAAAGAAGACCTCAATTGAGAACTCTTACTTAGCTGAAAACAGTAGAGAGGCAAATCCGCAATGTGAAGAGGTTTTCCTTCATTCACCGCGTGGAAACTCTCCAGCTTATGGCTGCTATCCAGATTCAGAAGATGATACAGAAGCCCCTCCTCCCTACAGCCCTATCGGGGATGATGTCCAGCTGTTGCCAAAGTGTAATTTGGACAATGAAGGAAATGAATATCCCATACACAGTACTCCACTTAACTGTCATGACCACGAGCGTAACCATAAAGTGCCTCCTCCGATCCGACCTAAGCCAGCTGGACCCAAGTCAAAAGTGAATAGACTTGACCCAAACCTGGTTAAAACAATAGAAGCTGGCATCAGTAAAACCCCCAAGAAGCCACATTCCCGCTTCCCTATGTCACACCCTGATGACTTAGACCCTTCAGATAACTACGCAGAACCAGTTGACACAATACTTAAACCCAAAGATTTTGCTAATGATATCTACGCAGTACCTGACGACAGCCAGAACCACACTATTAAAATGCGCCACCTTTTTGTTAATGTACCAGGAGATGAAGAAAATGGCGTTTCAGACAGGGCGTCCAGGAACCAGACTGAACGGAGACCTTCAAAATATAAATATAGATCAAAGACTTTATTCAGCAAGGCCAAATTGTACTCCTACAGGCGAGCAAATTCTGATGCAAGTGATGAGGAAGCACTTACCATGCCTGGAAAAGACCGGAAACGTAAACCAAAGCACAGGCCTAGTGAGGAGGACCCTTTACTCTCTCCTGTTGATACCTGGAAGGGGGGCATTGACAACCCAGCCATAACTTCTGACCAAGAGCTAGAAGAGAAGAAAACAAAGAAAAAGCCACCAAAAGAAGACAAGAAGGTAATTATTTGTGTATTTCATATTATCTTAAACGCAGTAGCATAGATTGAAAAGAACAGTGGCATCTCTAGTGATGGTGTCATCCAGTGTGGTAGCTTATGACATCAGCACCCCCTTCCCAATTTACCTATATTAATGTTTTGTTTAATGTTACCTACAAATTGTAATTCCTAAATATCTTTAAATGTAATGGAGCAGACTGGGGAGGTAGAGCAACAAAGTACTAGCTATGTTGACTGTCACCCCTTGTGATTGTTTCATCCAGTGTGGTCTGCACCCCAAAGTGACGACATGAGTTAAGACTCAATTGTCAACTTTCCTCACATCCCTTTATAAAGTGATTGTCAAAGTTAAAACTGAAGGAAGCAACAGGGTTATGTGTATAAAGTAATGGATTTATGCCATTGTTTTATGGTATAAAACAGGGCTTGACAAATTTGCTTGGAATCTAGGAGCCATCTAAAAAAAAATTAGGTGCCAGATTTTCGCCAGCACGATGTGGGGAAAAGAGGGAGTAAAAACACCGTACCCATGTGATTAAAGGGGGGCAGGCCAACTTAACAAACGCACTCACTGAAAGACACACACACATTGATTTAATACATTCACTGACAGACACACTGATTTGATACTGACACACACTCACAAATTATAACTTTTTTTACTTTAATTTAAATCCACCCAGCCTTCCTACATTTGGGAGAAATTGAGTGGAACAGCTTTTCCTGGGGTCCAATTTCTAATCTCCCTACTGTGCTCCCTATAGAGCTGTTTAGTGATGCAGAACCGGAGTGACTAACCCAGCATCTCTGGAGGGCGTGAAAGGGAGTAGAGCAGGGAGATTATCAGTTCCCTCGTGTCCGCTGCCTCACTGCCAACTGCTTTCCCGCTTGCTCTCCTCCCTCTCCTCTCCATTAGCCGACTGATTGCCTGCCTGAGTTGTCAGTTAGCCTCCCACCTGCCTGCCTCAGCGCATCGTGAGCGGATTTGTTTTTGTTTTTTTTTGTTTTTTTGCTAGCCTCAAATCTCAGGCATCCGGTCATCTTGGTTTTTTGTGCACCAAAATAATCCATCTTCTGACACTTTTATTACCCTCTTGGATTTTTTTGCTTTTATTTTCTGAGAATTTTACAATTTATTACATTTGCAAAATAAACAGTCAAATTAGTAAATACTATGTACATTTACAATTTGATACAAGAATATGAAAGCGGTCAACCAGTCACAACAAATGAAATGGAGGGGGCGGAGCCTGGCAGCGCAACTGAATAGACGCCATTTTCATAGCTCCGAGCGCTGATCAGCCTAATCTCTAAAATATCACCTGCATCCGAGCCAAACCGCCTGCACAGAGGGCAGAGTTCGACAGAGCTAACCGCCCTGAATCTGCCGATGCCTTTTTTACACACCCCGGGCAAGAAATACCAGACTCGCGGCACCAAGGCCTACCGCGCCATCAAACACTCCCCGGCAGCATACGGAGGTCCACTAGACCTTCTACCTTGGCTAACAGGTAATATGGGGAGGAAAACCCCGAAACCGCCTGCTCCCATGCCCAAGACACAGCAAAACATAAGTCAAATGCTGCAATACACGGCGCCAGCGACAATTTCACCGGCGCAGGAGGCCTCACTTACCCGGGAGCCTTCATTCGCACGAGACAGCGACGAGACCGCGCATCAAAGCCTGAAGCCGATACAAAGAGAACCACCCAGCCCAAAGGAGACAGAAGCTCCGGCTACAAAACGGGAGCTTAGAGAAATGCTCACTGGTCTCCAAAATAACCTTAGGGCAATGTGGGAGGCGGACCTGGCAGCTCTCACGACCGAAGTACAGGCCGTGAAAAGGCGCACACAGACAACTGAAAGGAATGTGACAGACCTGCAACAAGGCCTCAAAGAACTGAGCGATAAAGTACAAGGTATCCAGACTACACAAGCTGAAACAAACAAGCAGGTGCTCATCCTGGATGACAGGGGCAGAAGAAAGAACATAAAGGTGAGGGGAGTATCAGAAACTATACCCCTAGAAGAATTACCGCACTTCATTAGAAGGCTAGTGTCGGCACTACTATCAACAAGAGAGGCTAAATACCTCTCCTTTGATGGGGCATACCGAATATCCAAATCCCCAAGAGCCCCTGCAACCGCACTACGAGACATTATTCTCAGGTGTCAAACAATGTCCAACAAATTAAGCCTGCTAGCAGCGATAAAAGGGAAGACGCCATACGAATTTGAGAACTGTAAAATCTCGTTCTTCCAAGACCTAAGCAGGGCTACGCTACAGTGGCGGAAAACCATGCAGCCCCTCACGAAAGCGGGCCTGACCTACAGATGGGCGACACCGCACACTCTATGGATCACTAAAGAAGGAAAGTTCTACAAAGCTACGGACCCAGCAGACATTCCCGCAATACTGGCAGCACTGGACTTACAACCACAACGGGGCCTCGAACACGCATCACCGGACACACAACCTCTACTGGACACTGACTCAGATACGTCCTCATCCGACATTAGAAGAGACAGGAGGCCAAAGACTTGAATTAATCAACACACCTGAGTACCTCAAGTTATAGGGACATTCGAGAGACTTTCCTAGCTATGCCATGACTTTTAATTTTTTTTTTTTTGTTGTTGTTCTGTTTCTGTTTATGCAAATCAACACACAAATTCTTAGCTGCGCACAGAGATTCAAGGGCACACACAGCGCCCACAGCACGCCCAGGGACTTTCTCCCCCCCCCTCCCTATCACACCCAACATGCCAGAGAGACACGACAAGGGGACAAGGGACCACACAAGGAAGAGGGCCACACACTAAAACTAGGGTCAAGAGCAACTATCACATAGGGCTGACAACACATAGGAACCAATGCGCCTCAGATCCATAAGCACCCAAGAGAAACAAACTCGCAAACCTCACTGGCATATATACTACGAGACGTCACACATAGCGGGAGTTTAACAACCCATACACTGACTAACTCGTTACAACCCAACAGACTACCACACTATTAAAAATGTGCAACATGATACCCAGCCAATGTCTTCATATGTGATATGTACACCTGTGCCAGACTAGATAGTAAAACTTATGTATCAAGACTTAAACGCAAAATGTATGTATGATACATGCTAACATGCACCAAAAATAAAGAATTATAAAAAAAAAAAAAAAATGAAATGGACATGGTAAGGAATAATTTGGTGCAAATAAGGGAATAATTAGGCAGTTATAGGGAAAATACCAGGAAACAAAACAAAAACTGCGTGCAGTCCTTTAATACGTTGCTTAACCTCCAATGCGTTTTGTAGAAGTTAAGTGAAGGGATATTGGTGAGCTTACATTTCTGAGTTAAAATATTCTATAGGGAGGTAGAAGTAGTGATTGACCTGAATGTTGGAAGCCAGTTAGGTTTAGGGATCCAGATATAAAGTACTTAGTAGTGGTTTCCAAATCTGTCCATCTATTACTTCATGGTGGCTCATGTCTTTACTGTGTCAGCGTTAATTTCATTTATTGGTGGCATTTTTGGAAATGAGTTAGGAATAGGCACCCTAATTTATTAATTGGATAACAGGTGGCCTATTTTGTGGAATGCAAAAAAATAACATTTTGGATTGAAAAACCTTGTAGCCTGGAGATTGCTAAGGGGAAAGGATCTGACTGAAATGATATGCCTTTTTATACACCTGGCATTCACAGAACCTTGACAGTTCAGTTCAAATATATGACAAACAATTTAAAAACATTTTAAGTAATGAGAAAAAAGAAAAATAATTAAGCTGCGTGTATAAGATTTCATAATGCATAAATTAAACGTTCTTGTGGGGGACAAGTCTGTTTTAAATGACTGAAAGGACAAATTTAGATTTTGTTTGCAGCGTGCTACATGTAATACATTTGTCTGTTGCTAAAGTATTTATAGCAGGGAAGGTTCCTCATGTCTTTGGGAAGTGAAAGCACTGATACACAGAACTTTCTTCCCTTTTTTTTGTTCTGGCCATTAACCTCTTTTGCACACACTGCAAATTTGAAATTATTTTCTAGCTTTTCATTTCCTGGACTAGAATTATATCTCACACTTGTCCAGCCATTTCTCATCTGCCATGGATACTGGAGGATATGCAGTACTTATGTATATACCACCTTACATTATTATGTAACATTCCACAATCTCAAAGGATCTACCATAGATCCCATACTGAACAAAACAATTTAATAGGAATGCCAGCTCGTGGCTGACAAAGCCACCATGAGTTAAAGCAAAATGTCAGAGGAAAGATGCCACTTACAAATGGTATATGTAGGGCTATTCTGCCTCCCATGGCATTCTCCACTCAGGTTGGCACACATACAGAATGAGTAGCACTTCAACATGGCACAAAGGGTGCTTAAACTGGCTTTTATGAGTCGTTATAGAGCGAACGAAGAGAAAGAAAAATCAACTTAGACTATGTAGAACCCAACAAAGTTAGGACTACTAGTACAAAGAGATTAATACAGTACCTAATGGAGACTCCAGGGGCTTAACCCCAGGTTGTATATAAAAAGAAAAAATTCTTTTTACTACTTCTTTATATTTTTTTTGCTATACAGCATGATTCACTATCATTACATTATAGTAGTCTTTTCTTTACAATGTATGATTATGTATTAATTTTGTTTGTTTATTTATTTTTGATTTATGTTGCCTTTCTCCTTACCTTTTTGGACCATTAGTTTGATCCTATTCTGCTTGCCTTAACACTTGAGCATACCCCTCTATATTATTGAGATCCATTAGACATCTAATTCTTAAATCTAAAGTACCAAATAGGGGTAAATTTAGTCATTTATTTACTATTATTATTCCCTATTTGGGAAGGACAAATATATGTATATACTTGTCTATATTGTGTATACTTTGAGTGGCTATAAATACTAAATATTAACTATAGTATTTCCTTTAGTTCAATTTATCTATGGGATTCATTCTTAATGTATGAATAAATAGATGATGACATTACTCTATATTCAGAAGGTTGAGTTCACCATAGGAGCATTTAACAATGACAATAATGATATAGAGATACCTTGTATCAAATACTATTCGATGAATCTTATTGTTTAAAATTCTCCTATATTTAGATATATATTGGGTAATTTATGTACATCTATATACTGTGTCTACACATCTATGTTATTGGTTGACATCGCTTTTCCTGAGCTGTTACAACCGGCAGTATGTGTTACATACTATCTCTCCGATTACCGAGGGAAAAGGGGAGGAGTTGTGTTTTGACGGACGGTTCATGTCCGTCCCACTCCTGCCGACGAAATCTACCCGATCGGTTTACGCGGGAAATGTTTAGCCACACCCCATATGAAGTGGACGATACCTATTAGATAATGGATCTCTTACAAAGGGTATTTAAAGCTCGGGATGAGCAGTCTCGGATTTGCCTCTGACGAAGGTGATATCAACAGCACTGAAACGCGCGTCAGGCGTGTTTATTGTCCGTTCTTTTTGGACATCACTGTTTGCTCACTTATTTCACTACACCGGAATGATTTGAGGACACTTGTATATATGTTTAATAGATAACTATTTTGTTCCCTTTTTTTGCTTTACCACTTTTAGCTGGTTAGTAGATATAATAGATACATTTATACTTTGTTGCCATTTGGTCTGCTACTTAGTTTTTTTCATCTTTATGCTACTTTTTTATATGCAAAGATATACTAACTTATTTTGTTAATTATCATCTAGCTGGTTATTAGACATAGACATAGCCAGCATATAACCATCATCTGGATTGATATATAATTAACTTTGCCATTTCTATGCTATGTTCTTTCTATATGTATATACCTATATCCTAACCTGCTCTGTCTATAGATATGCCGTGGGCACTCTAAGCTCCACGATATCTATTTCCTCCTATTTATTTTATATTTGAGATTATAAATTTATATCTCTTTGAGGATTTATATAGTGACATTTACATTTACATTTGAGACTATACATTCATATCTCTTTGAGGATTTATACAGTGGTATTTGCATGGGATTTATACTCCTATATTTGTTCCCTCCCCTATTGATATTGAGGCATTGGCTACATGAGAAAACATCCTTTGAGCACTATTGATTAAAGCTCTGTTTTGGTGTTTTATATCCTCATATATCTATATATTGGGGCATTGGGATAGACCTTATCTATCTAATTTTTTTTCCTTTTGATCACAAGGAGATATACTTTATCAATTTATGTTTATGTGACTACTTTATGATTTTCTCCAGATTAATACAGTTGGATACACCCGTTTTGCTTTTTTTGCGGCTGTATCTCTCTGTATTTTCATTTTTTCTTTTCGTTATAGAGCGAGCCTTTTCTAGACTAAGCTTCCCTCAAGTCACATTTATTGTCTTCATTCCTTTCATTGTATATACTATACATTAGGTGCTTTGTTTGTTTTGAAAAGATAGGTTTGCATCTGGTAAATCAACGAATAAAAACAAGAGTATGTGTTTTATTTTTTATTTTATTTTTTACTCTCTTCAGTTAAATAACTATCTTTTTGTATTGTCTACTTTAGTTTAGAAGGTCAACTCTTATGATTGTACTATTTCTATCCCAGACGTAAAACCTAATACAGAAGTATTGAGGTCCAATTATGATATAGCCTGTGCAATGACGAGACATGCAAAGGGAAAGGTCTTATCTCTCTGACCTAGAAGAAGTAGCTGGTTGTAGTGGTTATGGTACTTGGAGTGTTCCTTTTAAGACATTTTTAAAAGTTTGTGTTCAGATTTTCTGTAGACCAGTTCTCTGGAATAGATAGATGATACATGCAGTCGTCTCAGAAATGGCAAACATTAGAGTGGTATGCTTCATACAGAAACATTTAGTTGGACCGTTTTCACTTACTCAGAGAGCATGCACGGGGAGGAGAGGTAATTGGGAAGTACAGAAAAATGAGGAATATTGGGAAATTTATATAGATGGAGATGGCAAGGAAGGGAGATGAAGGCTTTCTCTTGCTGGCGCGCTGACAACAAATGTTATTTTTGCACAGATTTTACATTAAACAGTTCTTCTCTGCCCAAGTCACGTGTGCGGGGATGTAAGTAGCCTCCGGCATAAAAGTGCATATTATTCTGTAAGAGCAGCGTTTAAAGCAGAATGCTGCCCTTTCAGAATCCTACCAGCATGACCACTTCTAAAAGCAGAACAGTGGCTATGCAGTTTGGAGTTGCCACAGTCCTGTTTTAGAGAATGTCCGTTATTTTGGTAATGCAAATGCGTATAAGTGTAACATGGTCAGTGAGGATGCTTTGCAAGTGTGTTTGGTGATATCTGTTGATCATAAAAAATCTTGCTTGTGGGTTGTGACTTGATAACGAACGATTATAATTCAAGTGAGCCTTCAGATACCCTTGTAAAGCAATCTTGCTTCACTAGCATATAAACCTGTAGTCTGCTGGGCAGTGATCAATATCACTATTATCACTCCTTATCACTATTTTGGACAGTACTCCCATTAAAGAACATGTCTGATTTATTTTTTTAAGGAAGATATAAATAATTTTTTATACTGAAGTATGATGCATGTGTTACTGCTAACTCCACTGTCTTCACGATTCTTAACATGTTAAGCAACCTTTTATATCAGACAGTTTATGCTTGCTAATTTATGCTTGCTAATTATTGCCTTTAATAGTAAGCAGAATTGAAGGAGAAAAATAAAACTGCAAAATTGACTTATTGTACACAGAAGTGGACTTGGTATATGGGTATAGCTATTTATATGCCTTGAATGCTGTCCTTCCTAATAATTGTGTTGAATCTTTACATTTTTTTGTGAATAAGATTTTTATTTTGTTTTTCAAGTAAGAGGTAACAGTGAGACTCGCAGGTCTCTTTAGTCATATCTTTATACGTCTCATAGTAAAGAAGGCATTGGTACATTTGGTGGTGCTATCCCGTGTACCTCCTGTTGGTGGTATTCTGTTGGGCTTGTGTGTCCGTGTGTATTGGTCTTGTTAGCTTGTGTGTAGCGTTGGGGGTGCGGGGGGTATCCGGGTCGAGTTGTCTGGGGAGGGTGCGTCTCTGTCTGGGTTATGTCTGTCCATTTCGTCTCTTAGTTTATCGGTCTATGCGGCCTCGCCACCTCGTCTACGTGTCATATTTGAGTCTATTTGTGAATTTTGCCTTGGTAGTAGTCAGTATCCAGTGGGTCCATATTTCCATATACCTGTCTGGGGAATTGGATGTGTTCATGATGAGTTCCTCTATGGCTCGGAGTTCTTCCATTTGGGTGAACCAAGTTGTCAACAGGGGCGTTATTGTTTGCTTCCAGAATTGAGGGATCACTTGTTTGGCAACATTTAAGATTCTAATGGTTAGTGAGTGTTTGTATCGGGATCTAGGCGATTTTGTGTGGTGTAGGAGCATGTTTTCAGGGAGGAAGGGAGGTGGTGTGACTGAGAAGGTATTGAGGAAGCCGTGTATGCCCTGCCAGAAGGGCTGTATGGCCTCGCACTCCCACCATAGGTGCGGTACCAGTTCGTCAGCAGTTTGAACACAGTTTCCTGCGTCCTGCTGAAGACTGAGCAGTGATGCGTTAAGTAACATATTTTCTCCCAGTCTCCGTCAGTGAAAGTTTTCCCTAGTGTTTGTTCCCATCTCCCCATAAATTTGGGTTTCTCCGTTGGAGTCTCCCTCTGTAGCATGGAGTAAATAAGTGAGATCCCGTGCGGTTGTGGGTCTGGGTCCATACACATTCTTTCGAATGTGGTGGGGTCCCGTTTCCGTGCTATGCCCCCAGGGAGAGTATGAACGTAGCTCTGTAGCTGTCTGTGTTTTAGGTGGTGTAGGAGGGTGGTGAGTAAAAGAATGGAGAAAGAAGGGAGAGCACCTAGGTGCCAAAATCCCAACCAGAGTGTGTATGCAGAACTTAGTAGGGGGTAACCCTTGTATATATACAGTTATGCTAAGAAAATATGTGATCCCGAGCTACAGTAGCAACAGGAGCACTTTGAAAGAAAGTTCTGCAGGAAATATGCTTATCTAAAATAATATCCTTAAAATAACTTTATTGAGGGTATCTACTACAAAAGTATGATCCCAAATAGGAAAAAATGATATAAATGAAACTTAATACACCATAACAACTAGAAAAATTGAATATATACATAAGGAGTGATGGACTCAATCTTTAAATCTGGAAATAGAGCTGGAGAGGTAGAAACCTATAATCTAGATGTCTCTACAGAGCAGCCTTAAATAGAAAACTGTCCTAGATATAGACAGGTTAAATCCAAAAGATAGTAGTGACCTCTAAGATAAAATCCAAATTTGGGAGTACTGTAAACTCTTATCCTTGTGGTCAAGTAGACTAAAATGCAGAATATGTCTGTATCTGTCAAGTTGCCAACTGGGAGCTTAGATACTGAAACTGTATCAATTAAATAATAACTTCAAAGGGGAAACAGAAACAAAGTATCCCCTCTACTTGAAAACAAGCAAGTGGTTGCAATAAGCACAGCTATTGCCTGCAAAAGCCAGGCTTTCTATTAGAAACCTAAAATGCTGTCTGCTGCCACTAATGGTGTATTACACTCCCAGCTGATCCTGTAAGAGAAAAAAGATTCTACACTCTTAGGGTGGTGGTAGACCCCTCGAATAGGGTTGGGAGTGTTTTGCAATTAGTTCCGTCCAGGAGGTGGTGTAGTCTAGGTGTCTTGTGTCGGAGCAGGTCTCTGAATGCAATGGTGTCTAGTCCCGGTGGGAAACGGTCGTTTGTAGGGGCGGACGGGGACGGCGCTAGTCCGCATTTTTGCTACTCTTCCCCACTCATGTAGTGTTGCATTTGTGTAGGGTGAGCCCTGTCCACCGGTCCCTCCGCTCCTCTGCCATGGTAGAGTGGACAGCGGTTTCCCTGCTTCTGTTTCCTCTCTTTCTTTCTATCTCTTGAACACTCTCTCTCTTTTGTCCACTCCATAATTCTTTGGAGGTGGCAGGATTCATAGTACAGGGTTAAGTCTGGCATGGCCAGTCCTTCCCTGTCTTTGGGTAGCGTCAGTGCAGTCATCTTAACTCTCGGTCTCCTGTGGTCCCATACGTATTTCCCCGTTGCCTGTCTCATGGTCTGAAAAAATGATCTGGGGATGGTTATGGGTAGGGCTTGCATGAGGTATAGCAGGAGTGGGAGCAGGTTCATTTTTATTACCTGGATCCTGCCTAGCCATGATATGTGTGGGTACGCCCAATCCGACAGGTCTTTCCGGAATCTATCTAGCAGGGGGGGATAAAATTTTCTCTGAATAGGTCCTTTTCCCTCTTCGTCAACCATGTGCCTAGGTACTGTATCTTGTGTTGCGCCCATTGGAATGTGTGGCTCTGTGTTCGGGTATACTAAAGTTCAAGATATAGGATTTTGTGAAGTTGATTTTAAGGTTGGATATCTCCCGAAGGTCCTGAAGGCCTTCAGGATATTCGGGAGTGAGATCTCTGGGTTGGTGACGAAGAAAAGGAGGTCGTTGGCGTATGCCGCAACCTTGTGTTGCGTGTCTCCCTTTCCAATACCCCTAATAGCTGTGTTGTGTCGTATGTGTGTGTCAGAAAGGGCTTGAGTGTCAGCACAAAGAGCAGGGGTGATAGAGGGCATCCCTGCCTTGTGCCGTTGTTAATGGGGGATTCATTTGTCAGGGCTCCATTTACGATAACGTGGGCGGTGGGCCCATTGTACAATGCCTCTACCCATCTCATGAAGTGCGGTTCTGTCAGGTGGCTGTCGGTCTGCTTTTTAAGGATGGTGCCCTGGCGGATGAAGTGTCGGCAAATTACGCTTTTGTGGGCCTCCCATCTAATGGTCGGCGAGGTTTGTTCGCCAGTGTTCGTCTCACAGTAATCTTTGAGCGCTTCCTTGATATCGGTTGTGAAGTCGGGTCTGGTTAGGAGATATTCATTTAGTCTCCATTTGTTGATCCGGGGTTTGTATAGGGGGAACAAGAGTGTCAGGAGTACCGGCGCGTGGTCTGACCATGTCGCCACCCCGTGCTCTGCATCGCGTGTTATTGGTAGATGATAGTTTGAGGTAAAGAGGTAGTCCAGTCTAGTATATGTGTTGTGTGAGAAGAAGGTGTAGTCCTTCTCATCCGGGTGGTAGGCCCTCCAGCAGTCTATCAGTTTGTGACGAGTCAGAAGGGTTTTGATTGAGTTCAGGTTTTGTGTCGAGACCCACGAGTGTCCGGAGGAGGTGCCCCACCGCAGATTGAGTGCTGCGTTAAGGTCCCCCCCACAATGAGGATTCCCTCCGTGAAGGGCTGTAGTTTCTTAAGTGTGTGTGTGCCAGGAATCTGTATTGTTGGTTGTTCGGGGTGTAGATGTTTGCGAATGTATAGACCTGTCCTGCAATTGTGCCTTTGAGGAAAAGGAATCTACCCTCCCTGGCCGTCATCAGCCCTGTTTCTACAAAAGGTATCTTTTTGTTAACTAGGATGGCCGTGCCTCTTGACCTCCCTGCATGGTAGTCGCTGTAATATCCCATCGGGTAGTGATGGTTAGTCATTTTGGGTCTGGACCCTTCCTTAAAGTGTGTCTCTTGGATTAAGACTATCGAGGCTCGTTTGGCGTGGAAGTCTCTCAGCGCTCCTGAGCGCCTCTCCGGTTTGTTGAGGCCTCTGGCGTTTATGGAGAGGACAGTGAGGCAATCCGGCACAAACGCCCTTGTGGCCGCGTCATTCGTTCTTCAAGTCACAGTCTGGTCTGGGGTTCGTAGGGTGTATGGGTCTGTTGGTTGTAGGTCGGGTGGGGGTTGTAGGGTGGGGGCTGTGGGGTTATGGGATGTGTTTATATGTTCTCGTCACTATAAAGTGAAGGTGAGGTTTCAGCGACGGGGAGGGCCCTATTCTACCCAGTGGGTCTCAGGCGGGTTTACCTGCGGGTTGGTGGCCCTGGCCTCCCTCCTGGAGCACCTTCCCCTTCTTTTCTACCTCCCGCTTGCTCTCAGTTTGTGAGTGAGTCCCCCGGTGTGGCCCGCCCCCTGCTCAACTAGGTCATCACAGGGCAGCCAAGGTCCCAGCGGCTGAGCCCAGTCCTAAGTAAGTGCCGGTGCACTCCCCCCTCGTGCCCTTCGGTCTATCTACCCATTGGTATCGGTTGGGGTGTGTGCCAAGGGTGGGGTCGGTGCTTCCTGGGATCGGTCCCTATTTGGCGGGTTTGTACACTGAGTTTAGGCAGGTACTGTCAGGACCCTCTCCTCACTGTGTTTTGCTGTGGTTGTCCATCCTTTTTTATAAGTATATTGATTTAGAATCATACTCAGGGGAGTGCAGCAGCCACTTTGGTAGAAGCTTGTTCCTGTATAGTTTCGATACACTTAGGTGTCTAGCTAGGCAGTTGGCTACCCCTACAGTCTGGCTGTGATATCTTCCCCTTTCGTTATTTATTTTGAGTCTGCTTCCGTGCCCCTTTTGTGTGTGTCCCCAATTCCTCCACCCCTCTGATTTTGGTAGCCAGGTGGACCCCCTCCCGTTCTCGCCCTCCCCCCTTCTCTTAGCCTGTTGTGGTGTATGTTAGCGGTCCTGATCCCCAAAATGTCCATAAGGGGGCTGGTACCCCTATTGGACAGAGAGTCCCGTGTTGTTGGTACTTGCGTTTATGTGCTGCAGCTGCTGACATTAGTCCTTTATGCCGCCGTCCCCGAGGGTTGAGTGGCTTGTTGTCGGGTCCCTCTGCTTCTGTGCGACTGTGGAGGGAGCCCCTGGGTCAACAGAGGTGCCATGTAGAAGGTAAGGGGGTCCGGCCATGTCCTGTTGATGGGTGGAAGTTGTAGTTCCGTTACCAGATCGCTCAGGTCCTCCAGGTGTCGGACTGTAAAAGGCCCCTTTGTTGTGATGGCCTGTAGCCTGGTCGGGAAGATCCACCGATACCTGATTTTTGTTGGTTTGGAGGATTCTCGTGAGGGGCCTCATCGCCCGTCGGTATGCCAGGGTAGCTGGTGAGAGGCCAGGATACAATTGTATTTCCACTCCATTCAGCGTTACCCTTTCTGTTCCTCGCGCTTTATGAAGGATCTCTTTCTTTAGTTGGAAACTGGCCAGGCAACAAATAGTGTCCCTTGGGGGAGCCTACCGGTGGACCCCTTGGTCTCAGTGCACGGTGTGCTCTGACAAACTCGATGTCGGTGGTCGCTGGGCGGCCCAGGGTCTTGTTGAACATTTCTCTGAGGATATCTGTTATCGATGTGGATTGATCTAGGTCTTATGGAATGCCGCGCACCCTGATGTTTTGGCGCCTGCCTCGGTTGTCCAGGTCCTCCTTGTGTAGGGCCATTTGTCTCATTTGTGTTGTGTTGTGTTGTGGTAGATTGCGTCGGTGTTTGCAGACTGGGCAGAGGACAAGTGGTCACAGTCTGCTTCCAATTGAGATACTTTGGTGTGTAGGCCCTGGATGTCTTCCCGAAGGGAATGTAGTTCCGCTGTGATGGAGGCTCGTAGCTCCAAGTTAGCCTCCTTCAGGTCTTGCCTTGTCGGGAGTGCCCGGATCAACTGTACCCAGTCTGGTTGGGGGTCCGGGGAGGTCTGGGCCTGCATCGCCTTGCGGCCGCCTCGTAGCAACACTGGGCGAGAAATCTCAGCGATCTCCGAGGTGGTGGAGGCCCGCACGGCTGTGTCTGTGGGAGTCACTAGGAATTGCAGTAGCGAGGTTGCGGCTGTGCCCTTCGGCGTGTCGGTTGGCTTGGTTATATGCGATGCCCAGTATTTTGCCCATGTTTGCTTGGTTTTCAGGTGCCGTGATGAGGATTTTAGCTGAGCCTGTTGGGGAGCTCCGGGTTTACGCCACAGTCTTCCTCGGCCTCCAAGCCACGCCCAGCCGAATCTTTACTTTTAAATGGCAGCGATTTGTTTATATTTGATTGTTGGGTATTTGATTTATTTGTTTACATTAAATGTGTTTGTTCTTAAAGTTGGTAGTTAAATGTTTGCCACTACCTTTCAACTTTTAGTAAGTCAGCAAATCATTAGTCTGTTTTCCCTCTTTTAAATATTTTGCCCCTTTTAATGCTGACAGGATTCCCAATTTCTATCCTATTGGCATGTGTTTGGAGTAGAAGATAGATCTGGATGTTGGTATGCTTGACATTTTGTTTTTCTCCCATCTGTGTTAACGAATTTGGTGGAAATGTGTTCTAAAACAATGCTTTTCTGATTGAAATCATTCATGACATCACCATTGTATATTCCTTCGGTTTAGAAAATGTGTCTGATTTGACCTAAATTTCCTATTCAGCTTTCACAGAATGAAAGGAGGAAAAAAAGCTTTCCAGTTATTTCTAGCCTTTTTATTTTTTTTATATTTTTTTGTTATGGATGTTTACTCACGCCTATATCCTCCCCTCAATCGATGGCCTCCCTACATCCCTCTCTGACATTAGGCATTAGTGGAAACACTTGACCGTGGCACTGGAAATGAGGTAAGTTTTAGCTTTAGTTTGTTGGTTGGGGAGACCAGGATTGGAAGGGTTACTGTAACCAAAAACAGTGTTTAAAACATTGAGTTATGGTTGGAGTAACCCTTAAACCCTTTAAATGTCAAATGCGCCTCAGTAATACATTTTACTAACAGTGCTAAAACCTGCCCACAGGAACTTACGTGGGCTTTAGTGTACTTTGTTTAGGTTTAATGTAAGCTTGTTTGAGCAGGGCCCTCCTCTACCTATTGTTCCTGTGTAATTGTGTCATTTATTGTAAATTCCCCACTCCCCCTAATAATATTGTAAAGCGCTGAAGAATTAGTTGGCGCTATATAAATACCAATAATAATAATGTGTGATGACCAAGTACAAAATATAATGCAAAATTATTACCTTTTATTCGTGTTCTCCTTCTTTATACTTTGGCTGTTAGAAACACAGTCACAAAACCACTAAATGCATGTAGCTTGCCTTGCACCTACTATTTAGTATCCACATAGGGGTCCCTATGAGGCGCCAGGTACATTTAAAAGAAAACTTGTAGCTATAGGAATACAAACCTGTCTCTAGCTGTATTCCGGTTTCCCACCCCCTTTCTCCAAGAATAATGGATTTTTTCCGGGGGTTTGTTCTCCGTGGTGCTGCTCACCCCTCCACCTCCTGTGACATCATGGAAGAGGCATGGCTTCCTCCAGCAATAGCCGGTCCAATGCTTCTCATAGAGGTGAATTAGGGACCCAATGCACATGTGCCATGTGTGCATCCAATTTTCTCTATAGGAAAGTGTTGTAATACTTTTCATCTGAAAGTCTTGCTCGCTTAAAAATTTTTTTACTCAGTGCAGCGGAAGGGACTTTAATGACAGCCGTTAGAGGTGTAGTTAACCCTATGTGTAAACATTGCAGTTTCTAAGAATCTGCAGTGTTTTATCACAAAAGATTAAAATGATAGGGCCTGCACCCAGACTACTTCACATTGAGTTCAGAGCCCATGTCCTGTGGCTGTTTCTTGTAATGTGTGACTTTTCTCTTTACAAAAACCAGTGATATTGCTGAACTGTGCTTTTGGAACTGCTCCTGTGAAGCAAATAATATCCTAATAATGTGAATTCTTACAAAATCTCTACCTGAAACATGCACTGTGTATTCCCCTGTTTATGACGTATGTGTCTTTTAATAGGTGTGGTGATAAAAAATAATTCCCATCTGTTTCATTCTATTTATTTCCATTATATGTGCCAAGTTGGGCTTTTTTGCTTGATCACAGCCAGGTTTGTGAAAATTAACTTGCCATTTAGTTATATATCTGACCATTTCCATTTTAATTTAGAAAACATGAGTGTATAACCCTAAGGGTGCTGTCTGAGGTGTGTCCAGAATGATAACACAGGGTGTAACTGCTCAGATTTCCAATCTGATAAACGTGTGGATTGGATCCTATGCTCTTCACGTACTCTAACAGGTTGTGAGCAATGCTCATAAGACTTCCATTGTGCATAATTCAATTGAACATTACAATGTGTTGTGTCCTATGGTCCATTCCTAGACCTGGATGTGATAAAAGGTATTTATCCTTCCTTTGTTACATGAAAACACATATGCCTATCTTTCTGAGATTCTGAGATTCTAGTTATCTGGATTCAAAATGTAACCCTTGTGATCTTTATTACTATGACAGAAAAAGAAAACAAAGCCTTTCAACCCACCAACTCGACGAAATTGGGAAAGCAATTATTTTGGAAAACCGCTGCAGGAACTTGTGAGCCTTGACAAGCCTATTCCTGTTTTTGTGAAGAAATGCGTGGATTTCATTGAGGAGTCAGGTAGGAAGCAAAGCACGGCCTTGAACTGGGTTTTGACTTTTGTGGTGGGGAATTGAAGTTTGTGATCACCTTTGCTAATTCCCAGGGTTACCTATATAGGCAAAGTGTATTATTCCCAACACCTTAATTTTAACACTTTGGCTTACATGAGGTTAGGAAAGAGATATTGTGTGAGTACCTGAACTGTAACATAAATGCAACAAAATATTACGTGGTGATGTATTTAAACAAAATTATGATAATGCACCATTAAATTGATTCAAGACAGTGATTAGGAAATTATTGTATATATCCTAGTAAACAGGAAGACTGCTTCATTTGTGCTCTTTTGTGTCAAGGTTCGTGTAGGTGATAAACCTTGCATTTAAAGAAGTAAAATTTAAATTCCTTTTTTTTTTTTTTTTTTTAATAGCAGTGTATGATATTTAACACTGGGCTCGACAAATCCCGGTCGCCATGGCACCTAGGAATTTTGCCTTGGCGCCTGGGATATGTGAGCCCGTTACATCTAAGGTAGGTGGGAGAGATTGGAGGTGGTTAGCAAGTTGGAGGATTATGGAGGCTGGCTGCGCGTATTGTTGCCGGGCGGCGAGGGAGCTGTAATGTCCCTACTCTGCTCCCTTGCTCGCCGCATAGTGAGACCGGGGTCAAAATATAACGTTCACGATCCCCCAGCATGCTTTCTACCTCCATAATGCCTCAACTTGCCGCTCACCTGCACGATCCCCCTGCATCCCGCTCACATGCACAATTCCCCAGCCTGACGCCCACTTGACCCCACAGGTATTATTACAAGCAATTATTTGTGAGTCTGTGTCCGTGTGTGTGTCATGCTGTGTTTGTGTGTTTAGGTGACCAGATCCCTTCTGTTCACAAGGGAATGGTGTTTCTACGCACATTTTTTTCCCCCAATGCTGGTCTCCCATATACAGGCCCTGCCTCTGTGACTAAGATTATCAAGCTTGATGATCTCACAGAATCCAATGTTTTCCCATAGGATTGACTGCAAAACACGGCACCAACCAGCTTCTCCTCAGAGATGCATTGAATCTGAGTGACGGCCACTAGACGTGTCACTGGGGAGCAATGAAAATACTGCCTTTTTTTCTGAAAAGGCAGTGTTTACATTAAAAGGCCTGCAGGGACAGGCTATAGACACCGGAACCACTACATTAAGCTGTACTGGTCTTGGTGACTATTGTGTCCCTTTATTTTTGTTGTTGAATATTGTGGCAAAAATAGCCACTTCTTTGTGCAAAAGACTGTTAGTTTGTCTATTTTGACTTCACGAACAGAACATGGACATATTGTTTGTGAAGTTGAACAAACTACCGAATTAGAGAACACACAGAAGAGTCGTGTGTCTCTAAGGATCTGCAACACTTGGAAACCGCAAGATCATAATAGTCGGATGGGTGGTCGCCGTTCATATGAACGAACACATGGCGGTGGCCATCTTAGTGCACGAACGCCCAGCGGTGTATGGTCGTCGAGAGCGTGTAACTAAAATCGGACACTCGACCTCGCGAACACAGCTATACTTCCATCTCGTTCGTACATGTACTTCCATTTGTGCAAACAGAGCGGCATTCGAATAAATGAAACAACCGACACATGACTACCCAGTTTATGAATGTGTGCATTCGTCTGTTTGTTCGTATGACCTCCTGAAAAGAGACTGGTCAAAGCCTTCAATTGCCTGGAACTGTTTTGGGACTTCACCTCGTGGCTGACCGGTCCAAAACTTCACTCGAATTACTTTTCTGTTTTTACCGAACGGATCTGAGTGGTATTTCGACCGATTGGGCGCTCAGATCCCAGCTATTCAGTGAAGTGTCTTTTGTGGCGTTCTGATAAATATTTCGAGTTATGTTTTAAAAAATATTGTTTAATGTTCTGTACTGGGAGATTTAATTAAATACTTGTTCTTACGCAATTACCTCCCCAGTACAGAAAAGGATCATGGGTTATGTAACTTTGTTCAGTCTTCCACACAGTTCATCGGGGAAAAACCCCTGGAATGTCATTAAGGAAACCACTTGCATGGGGAACTGTATAAAGCCAGCTGTGGCTAAATAAAAGTTGTTGACTCCCAAAACTGTGTTTCGTCCAGTTGTTGGGGAATGGGATTGGAATTACTACGCTACCCTTTATTTGTATGCTGATTACATCTACAAGCGGATATATTGCAGTTTATACTTTTACTCAGCTACAAATTTAAAGCTATGTAAGTTTAAAAAAAATTAAATAAATCTGGCTCTTAACTTTTTAGCTGGCTCCTAGATTCAAAGCAAATTTGTCAAGCCTTGATTTTACATATTTAATTAGCAATTTAAAGACCAGACCTGTGGGCCAGTTGATTGGTATGTGTTATTGGTTCCTGTTTGTCTAGAGCAGAGGTTGGCAACCTATGGCATGTGTGCCATGCATGGCAGTTGAGGTGTCTTTGCACGGCACTCAAGGCTGCTAGAGCCAAACCGGGTCTGGCCTATCAGGAGTCCCAGTAAAACTAAAGATATCTGCGAATATGAAAAGTTGATGAAGGACATTCCTCAATATATGCATTTCAGCACATAGAGGAAGTGATCTCTGATCACTTCATTCCAGCACTTGTGAATGGGAGTCCACACTGTAGTAGAGCAGCCCGCAGCTGCTGTTGCAGCTCCTATCCCTGACCTGTACCTGGCCAGCATGTCCAGGCTGGAATACAAGGAAGCCACCCACACTGCTAGATTTACACAGAGCTGCAGAATAACCCTTCCCTCATACACATAATATGAACAGCCCACACACAAACGTACACAGAATCTGCACAAACGCAACACCACAAAAAATCCACATGCAGGCTCTCGCATACAATACCCTAAACAGCCCCACACATCACCAAACACACTATGTGACATTTCCATCCACACACAATTCCACAAGCAGCCCACATTCGGAGGTATCATACACAATACCACAAACTACTCATGAACAGATACAATATAATAGCGCATATACGCACAAATACAACAATACAAAGCAACCGCAGTATAAATAACACTAGCAGAATACAACAACATACACACCTCAATTTAAAGGGACACTATAGTCACCTGAACAACTTTAGCTTAATGAAGCAGTTTTGGTGTATAGAAAATGCCCCTGCAGACTCACTGCTCAATCCTCTGCCATTTAGGAGTTAAATCCCTTTGTTTATGAACCCTAGTCACACCTCCCTGCATGTGACTTGCACAGCCTTCCATAAACACTTCCTGTAGAGAGAGCCCTATTTAGGCTTTCTTTATTGCAAGTTCTGTTTAAGATTTTCTTATCCCCTGCTATGTTAATAGCTTGCTAGAACCCTGCAAGAGCCTCCTGTATGTGATTAAAGTTCAATTTAGAGATTGAGATACAATTATTTAAGGTAAATTACATCTGTTTGAAAGTGAAACCAGTTTTTTTTTTCATGCAGGCTCTGTCAATCATAGCCAGGGGAGGTGTGGCTAGGGCTGCATAAACAGAAACAACGTGATTTAACTCCTAAATGACAGTGAATTGAGCAGTGAAATTGCAGGGGAATGATTTATGCACTAAAACTGCTTTATTTAGCTAAAGTAATTTAGGTGACTATAGTGTTCCTTTTAAAAAAAAAAAAAAAAATCACAATCTTATTTCGGCACAGTGCTCCTAAAAGGTTGCCTACCCTGGTCTAGAGCTTAGACACTATAACCACTTTGCTCATGGTATAGGTTACAGAGCAAGTAGTTTGTGTCTCAGTGCTGCACACTGTTGCTTTTAAATACAGGGATTTTAAAATTTTATATGAAGTTTGCCATTATTTTTCTTAAATAAACACTGTAGTGTTGGGAATACTAACATGTATACTAATGCTATCTTATCACATCCTCCCTCCACACTTGATGAATAAAATTATAAGCAGTTTTAGTTTGCTTCTCTGTGGTAGAGGTTCAGTTAAATCAAACTGCTGAGCACAGGCTTGCTACTTTGTGGACATTTTTACCCAGTGAATGGAACTCTTTGTGAAAAACATAAATACATGCTTGATGCTTTGGTTTAGCCCTAAAATGCCATAATCTCAATATCCATAATGATATTGATGTCTGTAAAATTACTTTAGAAATCTATCATTTGTGTCGTTGCTGTTCTTTCTTCAAAAGTATATCCTATTCTCATCTGTTGGAATCCACCTTGGTGTATGAGTGCTATATACAGTTTATACAGCTTATACTGCTTGTGTACGACGTTCCACTGCTATGAAAATCTAATGGAGTGAAGACAGGCACACGTTGAAAGAATACATCAGGATCTGATAGTATTCTCCTACTGTCTATATCTGTGTTCCAGCAAAAGCATGGAGCAGTGGAAATTTTGAACCCTATGTCATCTGTGTTATTAATTTGTCAGCCCCAATCTGGAATGTTACTTTAAAATAGTTTTGCTTTCACAATAAAAGTAGGAAGTACTCACTCTTGCACTTGCATTGTTTTATCAATTAGCCTGCAAGGTTTAGCCAATCTCACATCAGATTTAAACCAGTGTACAGGAATACTCCATTGGTTTTAGTGAATAAATAAGGCATGTTCTAATGGACACACCACCCTTGATGTCATAGGACGGAATTTGTAGACAGATCAGTGAATCTCCTATGCTTCTTTCAAAAAAGGAATGACTGCGTTGTTGGTTCTGCGAGAAGTATCTAGTAAGCTACACAAGCTGTGCTTTCTGAACCCAATCACACACAGCTCCTAACAAGCAGGAGAGAGAGCAGATGCTGCCACAGAAGGTTTTACTGCAACATAGAAACACAGATTGGGCCAAGTGGATCTTAACTGCCGTCACAATCAGTCGGCCCAGCATAAATTTCTCAATATTCTTTAATTCCTTGATTCTGTGATGCGGTCACTGTGCCTGTATATTCTGTAGCTATTACTTTTTATGTAAAGCAGTATTTACTTTATACTTTTTTTTTTAAATTTAATTTAATTTCTTTTTATTGAGGAAAATCACAGATATCACATCCATTTGGCAAATGCAGACATGAGTAGACATATCCCCTTGTATAAGTTAAACACCGTTAACACAGTGTAATAGCAGTACATGTTCCGATTACTTGCAAACATTCCTTATAGCAATACTTGGACATGAATCGAGTGCTTTTCTACGCTTGGCTATTAAACTAATATTGTTGGAGAAAACGTTAATAAGAGTGAATGGTAAACAGTACCGATTCCCGACCACCTACTGTCCGATTGCAAAACATTCTACCGAATATAGGAGAGAATTGCGCAGGGATACACTATGGGTCACGTGTTCCTTTGTTTCTCACCTATTGCCTGTGTGGGGGGCCCTGTGGGGGGCCCACATGGTCAGATAATTGCAGAGCCAATCATGGATCAATAATATAGTAAAGAGAAGTACCGGAAAACAAACATAAGAAAAACAATGGAAAACAGTAATGAGCATACAATGTTATACAATGTTGTACCCTCTATCCCCATACTTGTGGGTGAACATTTTGTAGGCTGTAACAGGGAAAATAGTAATTATAATATTCTAGTTTCCTTTGCGGGTCTCCAGTTCAACTACCGGTAAGTCCCTTGAGAGAGGCGTGGGCGTTCACCAGGTATTTTGTCATGCAGTACAGTTACATGGGGTCTTCTCTGTATTAGTAAAAAGTAGAGTATAGAGTAGAGGGTGTCATCCCTCCTTAGCTAGCTATAACCAGGTTCCCGTTTTGTGTACCCTTTGACCCCTACCCCATGTGGGGTAAGCCAAGGTTGCTATATTTTAATATAATGAGCTAGTTTCCCCTGGGACGACCCACCAGTTTTTCCAAGATAAAAAAGTTCTCCATTTTAGCTATCCATTCCCGTAGGCCTGGGGTCTTGGTCACCTTCCACAGACACACTATTACAGACTTGGCTGCCGTAATTCCTTCACTCTGCTTCTTACCTTATAGGCTCTTGTTCTCTTAAAATTCAAAGAAAAGTTACCTGCACAAAACCCCAAATCCCTATGCATATTTAAATAAATGGGGGGGGTGGAGGGGGTTCACTCCAATTGCCATTAGGTGTAAGCCCATCTGCCATGTCAGTGCAACCCTCTTTTTTTTTTATTGTATGTATTGGGACTGATGTGTACCATGGTCCCTGCTGCCGCCCAGGAGTAGTGGGAGTCTGAGCGCTGAACTTATTTTTGTGTATTTGATCTTGTTCTCTTACTTTTCTTTATTGAAAAATGTTTTCGTTTGACTTTATTGAACATCTCTTTCAAAATATATGTCTGTTATTTATTCCAAGATATGGATGATTGAGACATTGATAAGTGGAACTACTTAATCACTGGGGCTAAACTGTTTTATTTTTATTTTAACACTGTAACATATTATAAAATAAGGTGGTCATAATATTTGTTGGTGTAATACATTTCACCATGCCCTTACACACCATACAATTCCAATATGTCTGCCTATTACCGTTGTGAAGGTGTGCATGCGTGCGTGCTTGCTTTTTTCGTTCTTTAAAGCTCCACTATAACACAAGCCTTCCAACAGTCCGAATATTTTGGCGACACCAGGGAACTGTCGTCTGGTATCAAAGCGCAAACTCCTCATTAGCGATGTGCAACAGGTATAAGGACCATGCAAGGGGCGCTTCAGCAGTACTTACTGCTTGATCTTAAAGGCTAAGTGACAGAGCTATATTAATTAATAATGTATTTGACTGTGCATTGCATTTTTATATTGTAGAACTTTAGTTAATTTGTTTGCAGACTATTTACTGTATATTTCATTGTATTTATCTATAATGTGGCACTACCCCTGGCTTTCTTTTTTCTGTGTTTTTATTTTCATTAATGGGATAAGAGGGATCCCTACTTTTTGGGGTTACCTGCCACATCTACACTCTCTCTAGTTTGATATCCTAAGCGCTGTTCCTTCCCCTCCATTCTAATAAATATTTTAAGAGTTAAGGATTTGTTTGCCTCCTCCGTACAAAGGATCAATAATACAGTAACAATATGTTGTTGTTGGTGTGTATGTGTATGTATATGTGTGTGTATATATATATGTGTGTGTATATCTATCTATATATATATCCCATACACATTGTAAGTACCAGGATAGGTTCAGCAGTGGAGTCCGTATGAAACCAAAAAGGAATATTAGGGTAGTATGTTCTTACAGGGGGCAACTAAAAGGAATAGGATCTAGTCCTGCTCGTGTTTAATGGAGCTGTATCTAGCTCCAGTGTGAGTGGCATAGAGTGGTATAATCACCACTTGCAAGGATATGTGAGGATAGTTGCTTTGTAGTATGTGGACCATAAAAATAAACAATAGTGCTCACTGAATAAAAAGTTGACCAATAGTTATTGCTCTGCAATGTATGTCAGTGTGTTTGGACAGTTCCTAAGAAAAGGTCTTGGCAGTCATCTCAAGGATTCACAAATAAGGCAACACAGGGCCTGTCTCGCTCACTGCTGAGTAAATAGGGGCTGCAGGAGATTACCAGTAAACTGAAAGTATTAGAAATTTAAGTGATGCCTATATCTGAACTATCACTGCACTTCCTAAATTTTAATCATTGAAAAATTCTTGTGGCTTATGTTCTTATTGTACTGCTGGCCCTTTTCAATCACTTTGAAGATTTATGCTTTTGCTGCCATAGAGACTGCCTGAAAATAATCTGTTAATCCAATTTTTTTTTTTTTTTTTTTTACAATTTTATGCTCTAATCCTGTCTTTGCTTTGGCACTTTACGCGGAGCTATCTCATAAACACAGGGAGAAGAGATTGTTAGATTAGAGCCATTGAGTGTTTTTATTTTTTTTTAATTGGCACATTAGTGTGAAAGGCATCTCTCGTCCATTATATTCACTGGCAATTGCCGGCTAAAGTCGTCTTTGACATCATTTGTTGTCATAGCAACCTCTCCGATGTCAGAGCTGGGGTGACCTCAGGTGAAGAATCTGCAATTTTATTCTATTCATGTGGATTCAAATAATGTATTGTTCCCTGAAAATATTCTTTTACTCTCCTCATTCCAGAAATATACAGGATGAGTGAATGCATTGAATTGCCAGACATAATGTGAATTAAGTTTTTTTTTATTTTTATTTTTATTACTATTTTTCCTTTAGGTTTTTGCAAGCAAATTTTGTGTACACTTTCAATTATTTTTTTTTTAATCTATTCTATTATTAAGTTCTGTTTTAAGAATAATCTAAGCATAGGACATTGTTTCTCTCCTTCTCTACTCTTAGTAAAAAGTAATGCAGCTCCTGTAGGAGTTCATGTCACAATTACTACTTGATGGGCGAGTCTGTTTATAGTTTGCCTTACTACCCATTTTAGCCCCAGGAATATCTCTACTGATGCTTGAAATTGTTATGGGCTTTGAGGAACAAGTATCGGAATTGTGTTGCCTCTGTATTAATGCCACGGTTCTTCTAGCTTTAATTCAACAATGGGGTTTTTGCAAGCAGGCAATGCCCTCCTATTTCCATCATATTAAAAAGCTGTGAGGAAGAAAACCAAGACACATCATGTGAATGACTGACATTTAGGAACGTTTTTAGATGAGTTGGTTATGATTCTGTATATATCTATATATCTGCAGTCCACAACATCTGGAGGTTGGCAAAGGTTGCCTACCCATGTCATGAACCCATGAACAGGCTTAGACAACCTTTGCCACTGCAGATGTTTTGGACTACACCTCCCAGGATGCTTTGCCAGCATTATGGGGGATGTAGTCCACAACATCTGGAGTGCTGAAGGTTGCCTATCCCTGCCCTAGAAGACAGTGTTTTTAAAATTAGCCTTGTGTGCAGCTGTACAGCATTATGTAGCTTAATATATGAAGGGAGAAATGGTAACTGAACACTTAGTGAATATGACTTTACCTACTGCTGGCCTTTTAGGAGTTAATACTCTTCGTTATTTTATAAACTAGGATTTACCTATTCTTCTAACCCAATATCAGAAAGCTCTTGTGCTCCCTTTTGCAGTAAAGGAAATTTAGACCTTTTGTACAACTGTTCTGCACAGACTTGCAAAAGAGGCCGGAATGGAATTGTGTGTTCAGACGAGTTGTTTACCTTTTCCAGCTCACAGAAAGGGTATAGTGAGTGCCTGGAGGGGGGTACTCTGCACGTCACACAAAGGGTCTGGCTTTTACAGACTCTGAACCTTGGATAATGTACTTTTAAACCTGGCTTTCTATACATTTTGCTGGAAGGACCAGTGCAATGTTGATTTCATTTATTTTATTTTACTTTATTGGACTCTGCTTGCCTGTAGCACTCTTTGTTATTTTATTATTTATTCTGGATTTGGCTTGATTCACTCTATTTTAGAGTGCATAAAAGAACCTTAACCTACTGCTACCATGGTGGAGTGTGGGGATAAATGCATTTTATATTGTCACTATCCCTGCCTCATTCAGCAGTGAATTGCAGACATTCCTGTTTCCAAAAATGTGTTCTGTTTGTGTGTTTTTAAAGCTTCACACATCTGTTATTGTAGCAAATCGAGGTGCCAAAGTGTTAATGTTAAATACTAATTAGTATCCCTTTAAAGGCATTTGCTAATTAGATGCTTTCGTATTATCTTGATCTCTGCATGTTCATTAATATATTATTGTCTAGGAGGCTCCTCTAGGAGATGTTTAGACAGTTTGGTAACTATCTTGATGGCTGATAATCTGTGCCTTTCTTGTATTGCTTGAACTGTGCCTCGTTCTAGGAAGCAGCACTGCTTTTCTCATTATTACAGTGTTTAAACTTGTTTCATCAGAACACTATAAGTTTACATTTATCTCACCAAATGTATTTATAGATTGTTTGGGGTGGGGGGTGCGGGGATGGGGGTGGAAGGGGTGAGGGGAGGGGAGGTTGTTCAAGTAAAAGGTATATAGGGAAAAATCCTTAACTGGATGGGGGTGTTTTTTTGTTTGTTTTTTTGAGAAAAGAGAAGGTGGTTATTATTACTTTCAGAAATAGGCACAAAGAAATTACACAGGGTTGTTAGAAACCTGCAGCTTTGTGCAGATCTCATAAACTGTTACCCAGTAAGGAGTTTATTCCTGTAGGCCTACGTGTTCCGTGAGGATCTGTATAGTGTGCTTCTGATGTCTGTTATGCATAGTATGTATGGTTGTCTATGGTGTACTACTGTCTTGATATAGGTCCCTAGAATCTGTGAGCTAAACAAAATGTTCATGACTGGTGCATACACTTAATTAGCCACTTACCACCCTTACAAACAAAGTCCTCAAACATACCTTATCAACCATCCTTACAAACCAAGCCATCTTCTCACTCACCCCTAATTAGTTACAAAATGCCTGCATATATAAATAGCACAGCGTTCGCACACCTCTAATTAGAAACAGCGTCGCAAATTCCAATGCGTGATTGCAGTTGTATTATATCCCCTATCCTTCACCTGCTGTTGGTGAGTAGGAAAATAGGGAAAATTTAGATATTTGGGTTTGACACGCTTTCTTTGATGCCTGGTAGAGTAATAGCTGCCTCTGTACTGCTTCAGGGCCTTGTTGCAATCCAAAACACCAGACTTTTTTGAGGGTGCCAGGAGAATGTAACATCATTTGGCACATGCACTAGCAGAGCATAGTTTGAGGTGTGTCAGCATCAGCAACCTTCGTGTTGGTCATCCTACTGTCTAACACGATCTTAGACGGCTAATGGTGACAAACCGCATACTGATACCACTTAATTATCCCTACTACAGATTATAACTACAGCATGCTACTTTTATTTAATATCATTTCGTTTTTGAAGTTTGAATGTCCAACTTTTCAGGGTTTGTAACATTGGGTGTTTGTCAAACTGTTTACTAGCTAAATGACTCCATATACCGGTATGCACTGTATCTTCCAGTGACAACAAAAACCCTATTTCAGTTCTTTTCCTCTGTAGTTCAGTGCTTGGGATTCCCTGTGGTCCAATTAGTTTAGCATGCTTCCAATATGTCATCTACCCCATAACTTCATCCCTTGCCAGCTTTTTCTTCAGTATAATCTCACCTGCTTTTTTTGAAAGCCTTGAGATAGTTATTATTATTATGATGATATTTATAGAGCGCCGTCAAATTCCGCAGCGCTTTACAGTGGGTGGATGAACAGACATGTAGTTGTAACTAGACAAGTTGGACACATAGGAACAGAGGGGTTGAGGGCCCTGCTCAATGAGCTTACATGCTAGAGGGAGTGGGGTAAAATGACACAAAAAGGTAAGGATAGTATTAGACTAATGACAGTTGCAGAAGAGGAATCAGTCAGGAGCTATTAGCAGTTTAATTGATACGCTTTTATGAAGAAGTGGGTTTTTAACGGAGGAGTGGAGACTGGGTGAGCATCTAACGGAGGAGGGAAGCGAGTTCCACAGGAACGGTGCAGCCCTCGAGAAATCTTGAAGGCGAGCATCAGAGGTGGGAGTACGGACAGAAGATAGACGTAAGTCTTCAGCAGATCGTAAGGGCCTAGACGGGACATACTTGTGTATAAGGGAGGATAGATAGGTGGGAGCAGCATTATGTAGAGATTTGAAAGCAAGAACCAGAATTTTAAATTGAGCTCTATATTTTATAGGAAGCCAATGTAGGGATTGACAGAAGGGTGAGGCATGGGAGGTGCGTGCGGACAGGAAGATGAGCCTTGCCGCAGCATTCATTCTAGCTCTTAAATGTGTTGTCGCCCACAATATCTTCTCAGGCAGCTGTGTGCCGCAGCCAATTAATTTGTTTACAATGCAGTGATACTTCTGGAGGTATTTTATGTTTGATTCATGGAGCTTTGTGGTAAGTTTTTTTTGTTTTTTTTTTAACTCTGGAAATTGAGTAATTACTGTACATACTTGCGATAATCACGCATGTAGTCCTAAAGAAAACTGTTACTTTATCATCTAGTTTTCCCATTTATTTAGAGGGACAGTAGAGTTATCCAGACCACTTTATCTCAATAAAGTAGTCTGGGTCCTGTTATTTAAAAAATGTTTTAAAAGCAGCACTGTTTACAATGCAGGGTTATATCCACCTCTAGCTGGTGCCAGTGACTGCCGATAGAGGCGCTTCCCCGCTGCACGGTAATGCGCTATCGTCTATATCAAAATATTGATTCAGTGCTTTCCATAGGGGAGCTTGAATGTGCATGCAGCACTTCCTGCACATGTGCATTAGGTTATTAATGTTCCTCTGTGGAGCATTGGATTGCACCATTGCAGAGACTGCCATGCCTCCAAGTAGTGCAGAGGGGAATCTGCGACACGTAGTGGGAAAGTTAAAATAGTGATCCTCCAATTTTTTCTATAAAATAGATTTAAAGTGGGGGGGCTGGGGGGTGCGATGTTGGACTACCTTAAATTAGTAAGAAGCTGTTAGGTGCTTAATGACTAGCAGTGTGCAGAAGCATTTTGGCACAGAATGGCAGGCTTTTTTGTAATTCCTACACCAGATAGAACTATAGTGTTAATTTAACTCAGAAGTACTACGATCTGTTTGCAATATTGAAATAAATGCAAACAATGATATGATATGGCAAGAACTATAGAGGAACAAATAGCAACGAAAGGTCAGCAGGCAGTGAACGTGAACTGCTGTGCTTACACACATGCCAGTTTGTAACAGAAACAGTAATTTGTCTACATTTTTTCAAATGAAGAAAGTAAATAGTCCAGATCAATGTAAGTAAGTGGCCCGTAGTATCATTAATAGCTCTAGCAAACATAACCTGAATTGTACCTTGTTATTCACAACTTTAAATGACAGTGTTCAATGGGCAGAGCATCTCCTGTGTAAACCTCACTTATCAGTGTCAGCCTTGTATATGTGCAATGTATGCTATTCACTCAGTGCATAAGACTTCGATGCAGCTTTTGAACTGTGTTATATATTTCTATCTGAATTTTTGAACACCCCTTTCAAATATGATTTTGCCTAGAGCAGTTGTTGCAACTGTTGGGGATGGGCTGAAGACAGTTTAGTTAATACTGAATGGCTGCACCCTGTTGACTTGTAATACTTTGTATTAAGTCCTGTCAAGTAGTCAGGCAGTTTGTGAGTCTGTGATGGGATGTGTCTGATTTATTTCTGTAGGGCAGGACTGCGCTTGTATGGGTTGCAGTGGCTACAATGACTTGTGGGGTGCCCATATTTCAGCATGTTGCTGCACAGTAATTATCTTAACAGTCAGAGGTAGTTCTCTGAACATCAGTCGGACCACCCTAGAATCCAGATAGAAGTGTATGTGATGAATTGTCACAGCGCAGGAGTAAGAGCTGTGTAATAACATTTTTGGTTATTTAAATTTACTCAGTGGGTGCCATTAGACAATGACAGTGTCAAAATTAGCTACTTGTATAGTTGTTGCCAACTGTAATACACGGATGTTACTGAAATTCACAGATGTAGTTTCAAGAATAAAATTGAAGTGCATATTTTAATATCATTTAAGACTTCGATGCAGCTTGTTTTGAACTGTGCCTTATTTATATATTTCTATCTGAATTTTTGAACACCCCTTTCAAATATGATTTTGCCTAGAGCAGTTGTTGCAACTGTTGGGGATGGGCTGAAGACAGTTTAGTTAATACTGAATGGCTGCACCCTGTTGACTTGTAATACTTTGTATTAAGTCCTGTCAAGTAGTCAGGCAGTTTGTGAGTCTGTGATGGGATGTGTCTGATTTATTTCTGTAGGGCAGGACTGCGCTTGTATGGGTTGCAGTGGCTACAATGACTTGTGGGGTGCCCATATTTCAGCATGTTGCTGCACAGTAATTATCTTAACAGTCAGAGGTAGTTCTCTGAACATCAGTCGGACCACCCTAGAATCCAGATAGAAGTGTATGTGATGAATTGTCACAGCGCAGGAGTAAGAGCTGTGCTAAAAAATTTAATAAATTTTTTGGTTATTTAAATTTACATATAATGGCAGTGGGTGCCATTAAACAACTGTGTGTGGATGTAAACCATGTGCTTGATTTAGTTTTACAGTTGCTTGGATCCAAATACAGCTGGTCTTATACTGTAGGTAAAATATATAAGTACTCTTCCCCTGGGAATCATGTGACCTGTTTTTGTCAAGGGCACGCTGTAACCATAATCCACATGTAACCATATAGCTGGATATGGTGCATATGTGCCCCTTGAAAGTATATTAAAATACAATTAAGGGGCGGAGCCTAGCAGCCTTGCTTACCGGTCCCATGTCTGGCGAGCTCCGTACTGAACAGTTCATATATCCCCGATATTAATAGTCCTGAATGTTGGCAGCAGACGTACCCCAGAGACTGGTGCACCCACTGCAGTGGAAAGCCATTGTGTTCTTGACAGGCTGGGGATAGACCTGCGAGGGAGGCGGCCGATCCCTTGGCTGACTGAAGCACACTGTCCTGGAGGTGTCCTTTGCAGTGCCGACATCAAGCTACCTGTACAAGCAGGCCATCTATGACTATCATGGCGGATTCCACGTACAACTTTACATCCAGCGACTCGCAACCCTCTCTCTCTCTCTGAGAAATGGGATCGCCTGTTTGACGACTTCTGGTCCAAGCTCTCCTATCACCAGTGCATTCAGGAGAAGGCTCCACCGGCACCTCCTGGGCAAGACCCTGACGCGGCGCCAAGGGGGAGGAAGCAAAGGCAGGCGCCCAGGCGAGCACATCAGCGCAGAATATTTGACTCAACTGATAGCCGGCCTCAAGCTTCTCTCCCCTGCGGGAGCACACCACTCAGCATGTTAGAAGTCTTGCCAAGAATCCATGAGTTGTATCAACACTCTGCAATGGGACTCATGACTCAGGTGCCCTGGAGTGCGGTGAGAACTGGGGCTGGTGGGGTGCCGGTAGGCAGAACTTGAGCCACAAATATAAGTATGGGGTAGGCAAAGTCTCTTATCTCTTAACATGCAACCAATACTTATAATACTCTCACTGATGTCTCCTCATGTTAGCTTGTCATACTCTTATTATTTGACTAGCCTGATTTCAATATTACTTTAAAACTGTGCTGTAACTTTCTACTACGGCAAAATTATACTTATCTGTTTTCTAAATGATTGCTCATACTGTTGTGGTAATGCAAGCATGTTTTGTACTCGTATGCACAGAAACATTAAGAATAAAAAAAAACTCTATTAAGCGTACTACATTTCTTTTGATCACTTACATTTTGGGATTATCTGTATAAGACCTTCTGAATATCACCATGGAAACCCTCATAGCTGTAACTCATTATCCCACATATCATTTGGTACTATCCTGATCAGTTAGAGAAAAGCCTTACAAAATGCTGATCTTCTGTTACTCAATGGTGACACAATAAAAGTAAGGTTATATTTTTGTTGCTACCACCACTCATCTGTAATTTTCTTTTCTAGGATTGAGCACGGAGGGTCTGTATCGCGTCAGTGGAAACAAGACTGATCAAGATAATATACAGAAGCAGTTTGACCAAGGTGAGTTGTGAGTTTGCAGTAATGTAGACTGTGTCTTTGCTGGCAGTAGTTTGGATTGTTGTATTATGGGACATCCTGGAGAACCCTTGACATAGAGTTGCTGGTATCTTCCTTATTAATAAATAAAATAAAAGTAAGCATAGCACAGATTAACAGGTAGAATAAAATCTAGTTAGTCTGCCCACCCATCCCTGTAAGGGCAAGCATTGTAGTGGGATACTCTCTCACAGTGCAATCAGATTGTGCCCATTTGTATATCACTTATTTATCTCTTGCAGTGAAGTCCAGATGTTTCATGTTATGCTGATCTGAAATTTTCACCAGAGATTGTTACATACCGTATATACTCGAGTATAAGCAGTTTTTTGTGCTGAAAACCCCCCACTCTGCTTATACTCGAGTCAAGGTCTGTATTATGGCAACTTACATTGCTATAATACAGACCAGGAGCCCGGCGGTCCTGTTGGGGGCTGACAGTGTGCTGTTACTTACCCTTCTCCTCCGTGCAGCTCCTCTGTCAGCTCCGTTCTGCTTACAGTGTAAGTCTCGCAAGACTTACAGCTCTCTGTCAGCCCCCCCACTGAACAGCCAATACCACTGGACCACCAGGGATTCAATATTATTTTAATATTATTTCATTTTAATAATAAAATATTATTAAAATAATATAGTATTAAAATTATATTATTATTATTTTAATAGTTGCATTAGGCCAGGGAGAGGGGACAAAAAAAATCTTTAAAAAAAATAATGCAAATATTAAAATAATAAAATATTATTATTTTATTATTCTTTTAATAATAATATTTTAATGTTTTTTTGTCCCCCCTCCCTGGCCAGGCAACAAGCAGGGAGGGGGGACAAAAAACATTTAAAAAAAAAAAATAATGCAAATATTATAATATAATAATAAAATATTATTAAAATAATATATTAAAATAAAATTTTTTAAATAAAGCTGCCCTCCCCTCACCCAGTTTACACACACTGCACAAACACACACTGCATTCATTATATATACACACTCTGCATTCATTATATACACACAAACACACACTACATTCATTATATATATATATACACACACACAAACACACTCTGCATTCATTCTATACACACACACTCTGCATTCATTCTATACACACACAACACACAAACACACACTCTGCATTCATTCTATACACACACACAAACACACTCTGCATTCATTCTATACACACACACAAACACACTCTGCATTCATTCTATACACACACACAAACACACTCTGCATTCATTCTATACACACACAACACACACTCTGCCTTCATTCTATACACACACAACACACAAACACACACTCTGCATTCATTCTATACACACACAAACACACACTGTAAATAAATATTCAATTAATGTAATTTTATTGGGGTCTAATTTTATTTAGAAATTTACCAGTAGCTGCTGCATTTCCCACCTTAGGCTTATACTCGAGTCAATAAGTTTTCCCAGTTTTTTGTGGTAAAATTAGGGGCCTCGGCTTATATTCGGGTCGGCTTATACTCTAGTATATAGTGTAGTAGAAGATGTAAAATATATATCCACATACGGGGGGAAAAAAGTATATTTTCTTTTTACCATGACCGCATTCTTTGTAAAGTAACACTATAGAAATGCAAACATATAATCCCGACACTATAATGTTAAACTAACTGCCTCTTCCCCTGGCCCCCTGAGGTGAATCTAAAAAGGGGTTTAAACTCTCCTTTTCTTTCCATGCCGCACATGTCTTGGCATGGCTGAAATAATCAATCTTGATGATCTCCGCCAATCCAATGCTATCCTATAGGGTAGAATTGGGAAGCTATTGTGCATTCTCAGGAGAATGCCATTCTGCGCCAATCGGCATCTCACTGAATCAATGCATCTCTATGGGGAACGTCTTCATGCAGGGTGTGGAGACACTAAACAAAGGTACTGCACAATTTGTCTAGGAAGCCCCTCTGAGTGACTGCACCTAGTGGTGGTAATAGGCAGCAATATAAACACTGCCTTTTCTGTGAAAAGGAAGCGTTTACAGTGCTCAGCCTGGAGGGACAGGCTATAGCCACCAGTACTTCTACATTAAGTTGTAGCGAGTTTGGTGACTGTCACTTTAAAAAGCATTTAGGCAAGACTAGTGACAATATTCAATTTACAAACTTTAAAAGCACAAAAACACCAAAGTGGAACTGCTAGAAAAGAGATTTTTGTTCCTCCTTACGTTGACAGACTACATGTAAGCTGTATATTTATTGCAGCTACAGAGGGTCATTGAGTTGTGTCTGACCACCCTAACCCCATCAGGTCCTATAACTGTTACGATAGAAGGGATTTGCCTGGCACCTTGTAATGAAGTGCATATCATTTATTCACAGGAAGAGTTGACTGCATTATATTCTCTAAAGTGATGTATATCAAAGGTTACCATAAAGTGGCATTCTGCTGAGAACTGCAATGTCTCTGCGGAAGCAGATGTGATGGATGTGTGGATGGATGATGGATGTGGGAGTGGGTCTTCCTAACTACCATGTGTTAGAGTTCTGTGACAAGTGCGCTCAGAATTGTACTTATTTAACGGTGTTCCATAGAGCATATATGCCTCAGACATGCCATTTACATTTTAATTAGAGAAATCCTTAATCTCCAGCATTTCAATAGCCATGAAGGATAGCTCAACCTTCACAAAGCCATGCCACGAAACTGAACGCTTTAAAATAAATTATTAAACCATACTTCCTACTTCAAATGCCACTTCCTGCCTTGTTCTTATAAATGATTGTCAAGCTGCACTTGTAGAACATAAATGTCCAAAAATTAAAGCAATAAAAGCAATCTTGGTCCCAGTAATAAATGCAATTACCATATTACTGATATAAATGTAACACTATACGAACAATATATTAAAATAACCATTACAGCCCATTAAAGGTTATGGTGCCGGACAGCTAACAGCTGTTTATAACGCGAAATGCATTCATCATCCATGTATTATTTGCCCTGGGCATCAACAACGGGCTTTAATATAACACTACATGGTATAAACTATTTAACTGAAACCAAAGTAACTTTGTTTCATTATAAAGCAAGTAACACCTTGCTGTTCAGCCAATGGAGGGCTGTATTTCTGTTTCTATATTCTGTAGATACATCTAAGCAAGTATTAAAGTTTAGAAATGCTGCTAGAGTTGGGTGGATAGGGAATAATAAGTCTGTGACCTCATGCCTCAGTCTTTCTTGCCTCTCCTTTATTGAGATGATTAGACATTCCTCCCAGATTTCTCATGAAATAATTAACCCACGAAACACCTGCCAGTTCTCAGTCAAGGCTTGCAGAAAACAAGACCTTTGGCTGCATTAGAGCCTCTAGCTAAAACAAAGCATTTGCTGTTCCAAGTGCAGGCGATGCTTTCATTTTGGCATGCCGAAAGTCAAATGTTCTAGTTTACTGACCCATCGTATGCAGACAGAATCCATCACTTCCTTAAAAAACCCTTGTGTGCTAGAGTAATAATATTTATGTAGAGGAAGAGAACACTGCAAGCCTACAGCTGTTATACACATAGTCATTATGGAACTGATGTTAAAAAAAAAAGTCTATAAACAGGGAATACGATGAAAGGTAGGTTGGAAATAAGCAGCACGTTGCAATAAATCATTAGAGTACTAAATGTTATATTGTGCAAAAAGAAGGATGTTATACACACACGCATACGTGATCCATTGTGGAATCTATTGTGGTTGAGGCCAAATACAAAACATACTTTCTGGAGTATAAACGCTGTTTGAATTCAGCCACAGTAAAATGTTAAATATTTAGCTGAATTGTTTAACAAATGTCTAAGCAGAGGTGTGTCTGTAGTTCAAGAGGTGGAAAGTCTGTTATATATTTTGAACTATTGTGCACCTTTACGTCATTCCTACATTTTAGTGGGTTTACCACCACCAACTTATTTTCCAAAATATATAATGTTCCTTTTCTAACCTTATGTTATCGAGTCTGGTCCCGTTTTCCACCATTCTTTTGGGTTGCGCTCAATCTAAAAGTTTCTTAAAGTGGCATGGTTACTCGCCCACCCCCTTTTATTATGCCCCTTGCCATTATTTATATTTATTAACTTTTCTTACTTGAATCGGATCTTACCTGGGCAACAACCCTTTGTTCTCCTCTCTCCATGATGTCTGCAGTTTGCCCATCTTGTGGCAAACTTTGCTTACTCTCTCTATCCATTGACCAGGATCACGCTCCTGTAACAAAAAGTAGTCCCTATATTTTCTTATGTATAACCAAAAAAGTTAATTTAAATAATAAATAGGACAAATGTTTAAAAGCAAACCTGCAAAGTGACAGCCACATTGAAGATTTGATGTGATGTTTGCATTTCAGTGGTGCTCCGTTTTAATATTTATGGAGCTTGTGATTCGAATAGTGGATTTGTGCAAGTAGTTTAATTTGTCATGTAGAACCAAAACCATTATACCTAAAATGCATTCAGGAAGTTGGTATTTAATGTGAATAGGCGTGGAGAACTAAAATCGGTCATTCCATGACATGCTTGTATTAATGTACTTGTTTTGAATCTTACAGATAACAATTTAAATCTGGCTTTGATGGAGGTGAATGTAAATGCAGTGGCTGGTGCACTGAAGGCGTTTTTTGCAGACCTGCCTGCTCCATTAATCCCATACTCTCTTCACCCGGACCTGCTAGAAGCCTCAAGTAAGTTATGACAGTCACGGAGGCATACTACTCAGAGCGTGCTAGTGATTGCTTTTTGGGGGGGAAAGGGTTATAAATCATAAAGTTCGCACTGGATTGAAATCAATGGTTCAAACAATCCTGCTTAACTCTAAAGTTAAAAAGCTGCCTCCACCAAGGCACTTTATAAAATGGTAAACCTTGGTTTCTCTGAGCAAATTAGATTAAACCCACAAACATACATTTGCAAAATACGTTTAAATCTGTCTCTTCAGGTTTGCATGAGTATGGCTGCCAGCCAAGTTTGGCTTCAGTGTTACATCTCATAAAAAGTGCTAAGCACAGGTACAGATAGAATCTAAAGCCTAACCCCAGAATAGATGTATATCTCATGATATTACAACAGCAGAAGTCTCATTGTCTGGGAGGGGGTTGAGTTTTAGTATAGATGACTGCTTCTGCAGGGATTTTTGCTTGGTCATATGTTCAGTCTAGGGCAGCACTGGACTTAATTTTTCTAATGAATGTAGGTCACGTTATTACGCTCATACAATCTTATGGATTCCTTGATTTTAATTAAGGTGCCTGGAGACACTAGTCTAATTGTGATTAATATAATAAAACAAGAGTACTAGTTTATAGCTGCATAACATACCCTATTCCTTTGTATTGTGTGAATATGTGCAGATATTCTACATTTATTTTTCTTGCATTAATAAAAATCCAGAAAGGCTACAGTAATATTGTGCCGGGGTGTTCAGACCTGTGCTATCTAACTACCACTAAAAGGAACATTAACACAACGTTGGAATACAAACCTATTTTCAAAATCCCACCATGTGCTATAGAAATATAAAGGGTTTTACTTAGTCGAGGCTCCCTTGTTGCTGCTTCATATCTTCTTGTGACATCATGGTGGAAGCATGGCTTCCTCCAGTGTGGTCTACTACAATATGCTTCTCCTAGAGAAGATGGGCACAGTGAGTGTGTCCAAGGTTCCTAATAGGAAAGCATTGAATCAGTGCTTTCTTATGGGGGGCTGTAATGTCACATGACAGGAGCGATTCCACTGGAGGAGTATTTAACCGTTCAAGAAAAACATTGTTTCTTCAAAATGGCAATATTTTACCTTGAATAGTTAAAATAACAGGGCCACTGTACTCAGTTCACATTATTGAGATAAGTGCCTTGGTGACTTTAGTGGTACTTTAATTTGCCAGCAAATGACTCGTCTAGCCTTTTCTAGCCAGTAGTTGGACCGTGTTTTTAAATACTGAAAAACTGTGAGCCCTCCGTTTTATTGCCCAACATTTTGTCATCATTTTTAATGCTTTCTTTGCTAGAGGAAAAGTTGTTTAAAATACTACAATGCTCAGTTAACAGGCCAAATAAACTGGTTCTACTGTATTTTACTTTTTATTAACACAATATTCTGGGCACCAGACAGCTTCCTTGAATTAAGTTATGGTGCCCAAAAGTGTTAAATCCAGCACCAAGTAGCTCTGCCCATCTAGTTTCACTACTAAGACTTGAAAGTTCTTCGCCTGTCAGTTGCTCCCCGTTAAGAAAATGGCTTGAGAACCACTTCTGTCGGAGGCTTGAATCGGGAAGCCTTCAACTTTGAGTGTCGGCTCGCATTCTCAACAGTAGCTCCCCATTAACAAAATGGCTTGAGATATGTATTGCGAATGAAGAGTTATTGAGTGTCGGTAGCAGGAGATGGGCAGAGCTGACTGGCACTATAACAAATCAAAAACAAATGTATAATGAGCCCAATATTAAGCAAGAGCTTCTACCCCTCATATTAGGTTGGTATTCAACGCAATTTTAATACATTACAGAAAATGGGGATCTACTTACTCTAATTTTGCCAGCAATTAACTTAGTGTGTTCCAGTATGTAAAGGGGATGTAAAGCAAACTGTGCATTAGCTGGTAGGTGTTTTTATTTTGTGCAGTGGTATGATCTGGATAGACACTGACTGTAATAGCAAGCCCCATACATAGAGTCCAAACACACATTAGTAAATAAGTGTTTGCTGTAAACTTGAATCCAGTCAGATTGTCTCTTGGTGTACACACTACATTAGGTCTAAACCACTTACCATGTTTTATTTATATATATATATATATATATATATATATATATATATATATATATATATATATATATATATATATATATATATGCACATCCTATACTATTTATCCTTTAAACTTGCTTAGGATTGCCTGTAAAAACAAAAAAAATGTGGAAAACAATCACAATATATTAGATATGTAAAGCCTAAAGGGAAGGGCCATTCTTTATTTAAAAAAAAATAAAAAAATAAATAGATACACAACCGAACTTTCTCGAGTATGTGAAACGCAGTGACTGGGGCTTAGCAGTTTACAATCTCTTATAAACAGGGAACATGTAAATCTGTTTACCAATTTGTGTTAGGATAATTACGATGTGTGTAGTGTATGGCAAATCATTACACCTTGTACTGCTTATTCTATAGAAATTCTGGATAAGGTGGAACGGCTACAAGTCCTGAAAGATATTTTGAGGAGCTTTCCTATTGTCAATTATGAAGTCTTCAAGTTCATTGTCGCTCATCTGAACAGGTACACGTATATGTCACTCATAAAAAAAAATAAACAAGCACTATGTTTGAATGTAATTTCTTTAATAGAATAACTGATGTGCTCTAAGTAAGTATTCAAAGACGTTCTTATCTGAAGGCTCTCTCCTTTCTTGCAGGGTTAGTCAACATAGCAAAACCAACCTCATGACAGCGGACAACCTTTCTATCTGCTTCTGGCCCACCTTGATGCGCCCGGACTTTGAAAATAAGGAGTTCTTCTCCACCACCAAGAATCACCAGTCTGTCATTGAAACCTTCATTCTGCAGTGCCAGTTCTTCTTTTATGAAGGTGACATCGTAGATTCGCCAAGTGTCACCAGTTCCCCTTCTGCCCATCACTCTAGCCCTGGACCACTTATGCCACCACTAGTTCCTCTTCCGTTACCTCCACCTCTTCAGCCACAGCTCGTCCAACCCCATCTGCAGGCTGATCCTCTGGGAATCATTTAACAAAGCCACAGCTACGTACTTTTATTTTATTTAATAACCCCAGCTCCCACAGGACAGACATTGGCATGTGGAATAGACTTCCCACCTGTAGTACTATCTTAATTCAGATGGATCGGATTATTTTTAGTTTGGTTTATTTTATTTTTTTTCTTCCCTTTTTCTGTTTGTATTTTTTAACCCATGGAAATGTCTAGAAAGAGGTCTGTGGCAGGCCCCATTTGTGAATTTTGCTGCTGCATGGAACTTCTATATAAATACTATAATCTTCCCAAATGGCACCATTGTGTCGCAAAGATACCTATCAATACAGAAGATAAAATACACAGAAGAAAGTCTTTTCTATAGAAAATCAAATTAAAATTACGGAAATAAATCACATTTATGAAGCTTAGAGTGCTTTCCCAGCCGTCTCAAGGCTGAGATTTATTTTGGTGTCAAAGCATCTGTGGTGTGCGTATGTGGGCATGTATGGGAATGTGTGGGAGCCTGGCAGTGGGGTGGGTTATGGATTTTGTGTTAGCGGTGCTTGGATTGGAGCTTAACTTGTAAATGATACAAAGTCAAAAAAAATGTATGTACATATATAAATGTTTACATATTTCAAGAATAAACATCCATCCATTAAATCCATGTTTTGTTTTACATAGGGGGTGGCACCTGGAGGGAGTTTGCATTCATTAAAAGCATTCTTGCATTGCTCAGTTTTGTTTAATTAAACAGTCATGTGGGGGGGAGTAGTAAACTGCTTGTTAGCAGGTAGCATTGGTAACTCTTGTTGGCACAAAGGGGTTATGTGATGTCTGTTAAATCTTAAGAATACAACAGTTATCCTACAAACGTATCAGCTGAAGGACTGTTGGATATAAAAGAATGGTACTGGTCAACCAACAAAGGGATTTCTTAAGTCAGATACCAAACAAAAGAATTATTGCCATGAATTTTGCAGATTAGTTGAAATAATAAACTAGCAATCTTGATATGATCTTGTCCGTTAGGCATCCCAATACGCTATACAAGCTTTTGTATTGGTAACAGTAATGTAATAGGCAGACGTGGACATTAAGGGTATAGATAAATTCGGAGCAGCTCAAAGATGTGCCCTTAGCATTAAAATGTTCAGAAAACCGAACTTTAGAACTAAGAATTTCAAGACACTATGGCCTAAAGCTCCCTTGGTTGTGATTTGTCCATTTTAAAAACTATCCTAGAATCAATAAAAAAAAAAATTTGAAGTAAATAAACAGCACATAATCCATACAGTCGTAAAATGTACAATAAATGTATCATGCAAAAAGATTTATATCACAGGACGCTTTGTGTGGACTGTAATCTTCTACATACATTAAATAACAGGGGACAAGTAACTTTCCATTGCAGCTGGGAGCTAAAGGGATTTGATTTCCAGTGTCATTCTGTAGTCAGAGCTTAGTTTACATGATTCTTTCCAGCTTAACATGCACAATGTTTAGGAATTTAAGCAGCACATTCCTGGTGGCAAAACCACTACAGTGGCTCAAGTGGTTAAGGTGCTTTGAGTGTCACTTAAAAAAAAAAGATTATTCGTTTGTTAGATTAAAAAAATAAAAATATCAAATTTCTATCTCCTAATAAAAATGGAAAGTGGTGAGTATTCCAAAGGTTGCTATCCTGCACATTATCAATGGAAAAAGCTGAATGTGAGCTTGGTTTGTTAGATTTCTATAATAGATATGTACTGCAGGCACACAGAACAGTCTAAACAAAATACAGGTAAGCAAATTTAAATGTAAACAATTCCTCCACACTCGACTGTCCAAATGAATAAAATTCAAACTGTTTGGTTGATATCTCCAGTGGTAACATGCATTTATTGCTGTATTTTGTCATTGGGGTATAAATAAATTAAGTAAAAGCTGCAGTAGTTAAACTACCAGGAAGTAACAGGAACGCTTGTCTGACAGCCAGGGGGTGTAACAAGGTTCCTCTATAAAAGTCCCAATTTCTATTGAAATCTGCACTTTTAGTAAAATGAAAGCTTAGTGCACATTCTTCACACAAACCATTTGAGCAAGTTAAAGTGCTTTAGATCTCTGGAGTGTTCCTTCAAAAGACAACTGGTTTAGCTCGAAACTATTTTTAACACGTTTTCAAATTAAATAGAAGTTTTTATTTTAAAATGAGGTATATGGAAACAAATAAGAGAGAAACTCATTCATGCCTTTAGTATAGGACAGGATCCTTCAGCCATATACATGAACATTGGGTCAGAAAGACTCTATGGTCTTCCTGGCCTCACTTACTATATGGAACCAGGGTAGACCATAGAGAGACTGTATTCAAACACTGTCTGACCCAAGGTGTATGTATATGGCTGCAGGATCCGGTCATCCTGCAAAGGTAGAATTGGGTTTTTCTTACATATACTTTATTTAAAAATGTATTTAATTTCAAAATACAGAATTATATTTAAAAAAAAAAAGGTTTTGAAGAGACAGTTCTCTTTAAAGTGTTCCACTATTATAATTGGATTCTGTAACACTGACCGTTCCAATTGGCCAGACATGAAACGTTTACATATAACACAAGGTACATTAGATCATCCATATGTTTGTTAGGTGTGATATAGATAATACGTGTTTTTTGCTCTCTATATTCCCATCTGGTTAATTGAAGTTAGATGTTGTTATACAGGGATTTCATGCTGTATGTATATGCAAAAAAAAATTGAAAATTGTTGGGAAACATGCATGCTTTATGTATAATGTATATCTGATTGATTATACATTGTGACATTAAGAGCCATCGGCTTAGGAAGCAAAGAAAAATCGGGAAGGAGGAGATGCTGCATCTGCCCTCTAGGCAAGATATTCATTATTGGGGAAGCTATAGACTTAAATACACTATGTGACCATAACCTAAATATACAATCTAAATTATCATTTTTAATAGATCTTACAACGTATATGTTTGCATCTTCTAGTTGAACTAATGGTTTTGAAAGCTAAACATATAAGATAACCAACTCCTTTAAACCGTAAAATGATTTTTAATACACTAGCTAAACAGTAATCATGACTGAAGCGGTGAGGTGGTGTATCTTACCCCCTTTTAGTCCCCTGTTGTTCTTCCTACATCCATTATCAGAACATATCTAGCGCTGCTTATGTGACAGAAGTTGCTTAGATTGCTGGTATAGTGTTAACTAGGGACAGACTGATTAGTTGCTCATCTGTCCCAGTCCCCACACACAGTCTTCTGCCACGGACCAGTGTGGTGCCACATTGCAACCTCAAGTCCCCTCTCCCTATGAGAACCTGCATGCAGAGCTAAGCTGAAAGCAGGGAGATCAGACCGTGAATAATCTACTGTAATGTACTGGCTGACAGTGATAGGAGTGTGATTGCTGTCAGCCATCCCAGTGCTATCCGTAATAGCACTCTACATGCTGGGATCTCACTGATCCCCATATGTACTGGCTGCCTGATAGGGACAGTAGTCTGATTGCTAGCAGCATGCCAGGTTTGTGCAGGAATTTTGTTACGGTTTCAAAACTTTAAATGTACAGAATATTGGCATGAAAGGCGACAAATGATGTTCCTTGGCTTTGGAAAAATTCTAGCTGTTGATCCGAAGTGTTAACATCAACATGTTGCTATTGAAATGCAGTTTCAATGACATTCTGTGAAAAATTCAAACCACAGGCTATTGTACGGACAAAACTAAGGCTCAGAGGATGATTCACTTGCTGGTAAAGGAAATGTTCTAATCCCCATCACTTTATGACTTGTACCACTCTTTCAATAAGTGACTCATTGAATGTTTGTATTGTGCTTCCAGTGAGTGGTCATCATGTGCTTCATATCAATCCAAACCAAATGGTCTTACAATACCAAGTAGAAAATGGATCTGTCCATTCAGCTCTGATAATGTGGAAATTACCCTTACATTATGATCTGGAGCAAGAAGCCATCTAATGCTTGGACCTGACTTTATCGACCAACTACAAAGCTTGTGTCAGTAGTGTTGATATCAGACATACTCCAATTTCTCTATTTTCAACTCTCTTTTTAAAATTGTCTGCTTTTTCTGGTGACACTATAGTCACCAAAACAACTTTAAGCTTAATGAAGCAGTTTTGGTGTATAGATTACACACACCTGCAGTCTCACTGTTCAATTCTCTGTTATTTAGGTGTTCAGTTACTTTTTGTTTCTGTTTGCAGCCCTAGCCACACCTCCCTAGACTGTGCATCACACAGACTACATGGAAACAAAAGGGCTTCATTTTAAATCAGATATAACTTACTTTAAAAGTGTTTATCTCCTATTCTGTAAATTGAACTTTAATTATATACAAGATACTCATGTAGGGTCTAGCAAGCTATTAATAGAGCAGGAGATAAGATTATCTAAATTAAATAGAATTTGTAATCAAGGAAGTGTAAACATTAGATGACTCTTTACAGTAAGTGTTTAGGAAGGCTATGTAAGTCACATGCAGGGAGGTGTGGTTAGAGCTGTATAAACAACCATTGCATACTTCTCACTGATGACGACAATAAATGAAGTGGGTAAAACAAATGATTGGAAAGTCCTATGCTGGGAGGAGAGCATCTTGGAGAAGGACAACTCCAGTTTACACTTACAACAAAGTTATATATAAAGCTGAGTTTTTAGTGATATTTTTATTGCCTTTTAAGAAGAATTTTCATTAAAATAAACTTTTTTTTGTACAGTACAAACGGTACTTCCCCTAACTTTATCTCATCACAGGACTCTAGAACACGAGGATCTATATCTGTTTGCGAACTTTGAGAAGTATCACGTGCACAGACAACATGGCCAAGAGAAAATAGTCCAATATAATGCCCGCAGGCAGCTGGGCGGGCGGGGAGACAGATAGACACTCACACACTCACTCTCTCTCTCACCTTCACGTGCAGCATGGGGGTGGACATGGGGCTGAGGATAGTTTGCAACTTGGGCATAGGGAAAATAAATATGTAATTTCTGTCATATCAAGGGGGGGAGGGGGTCACATCTCTCTCTTTCTGCTATTTAAAAACAATTATTTAGGAAGGACGGTCCCTATTTTCTATCATAATATCTGTCTTTCCCAGGAGTTCCATATTGTTGGTGTGTCTGAGTGTATCACAGAGCTCCACAGCAATAATATTCCCAGTAATGTGTCTGAGTGTATAACAGAGCTCCACAGCAATAATACTCCCAGTAATGTGTCTGAGTGTATAACAGAGCTCCACAGCAATACTACTCCCAGTAGTGTGTCTGAGTGTATAACAGAGCTCCACAGCAATAATACTCCCAGTAGTGTGTCTGAGTGTATAACAGAGCTCCACAGCAATACTACTCCCAGTAATGTGTCTGAGTGTATAACAGAGCTCCACAGCAATACTACTCCAAGTAGTGTGTCTGAGTGTATAACAGAGCTCCACAGCAATAATACTCCCAGTAATGCCTTTAAACTTCAATAAATGGGTTTATCCGTCTGTGTAAATAAGAGACATTGCTCTTGTTCTAAGTCACATTTTAGTTGAATAAACCTTAACTTCAATTCAGTGCCCCTGTCATTGTAACCCTGCATTTGAAACTACGGTTTACATCGCAGGATTAAAACACTGACGGCCTCTAGGGGCCTTTCCGCTGCCCACAGTCACTCCCTGGAAAGCAATGAATTCTATGCTCTCCTATGACAAGGAGGATTATATATGACCAGCATCGAGGAGACCATTCTTCTCCATGACACTGTGGGAGGTGCAGAGGTAGCAGGGCTGGAAAAAGAACCGTAATACATTTTTTGTTTAAACATATTTTTCAGCCAGAAAGGGACGGGGCTGAATCTAACTAGCGAGAGTAGCAGTATAGTATTCCTTTAATAGGACACATGATGTGGACACAGGAAATGTGACTGAATTCAGAGAGAGATTGAGAACCCATTAGAGTTGGTGGTGATGATTACAATTTACTTACTGTACTTGTGTCAAGGAAGATTTACATAACCCATTCAGTGTGGTTTGCAAAAGGGCGCAATTCAGTAACCTGTGACGTTTACCCTATGCCCAAACCCAGGTAAGCTCTGGCCTAGATCAGCCAGCAGGTACCCAGTACATAAATGTTATGGTCGACCTGGGGAGTACTCCTATATGAAATACCATTCCAGTCACTAGCCAGCCATTGGATGGTCAAAAACACAGTGACATACTGAGACAATATCTCAGAATACAG